TTCCCCAAAACGAAGCCCTGCTCGACTCCCTCTCTATAAACTCATTCCAAACCCTACCTAGACTATTTCAAGCTCAAATTAAACCCATTCTTCATCAAGGATCATCACTTGGTAAGGTTTTACACTTAACATGAAATATTTCTACTATATTTGTATCTATAGTTCTTGGTTGGGGAATTTTCTAGGGTTGATTGATTTAGGGTTGATTCTAGGAAAACTAATGGACTTTATTAATGATAAGGTTGTTATGGAGTTGTTTTTCATCCTTGATTGAAAACTCTTGGGAAGTTTTAGGTATTTAGCTACCCCAAAGTTATACCCAATTTAATGAAAGAATTTTAATGATTAGTGGCTGGTTCTAAATAGATACATGAAATCCTTGATATTATGAGAAGGATTTAATAGATGATGAGTCTTGATTCATGAAATTCAATTGGTTCTTAGTTATCTAGCCATCCCGAAGCTATGCCCGATTTGTTGTAGGAAAAGGAGGAGGTTTCTAACTTGTAGGGGTTGATTTGTGAACTTTCCCTCACCTTAAGTCTAAGGATTTTCTAAGGACATGAATTTAAGTTTGATCAAGTATAAGCTTGTGTATTTATAATTATAGTTGCTCATCGAAGAACCGTTGCTCGTGGACACCGTACACGCACACACAAGGGCAAATACTTCGCGTGAACCAGGTAAGTCATCACCACCTAACATGATAGTTTGAAATGAAACATGGAAGTCTAGCTGTCTATGAATTGGATAGATTTGCTTGAACACTTGAATTTGTTTTGCATAAGATTATGTAAATGCCGTGTTATGTGTATGTGTTTATAGGTGATATGGATTGAGAACTTGTGGAGTTATCAGTGTAAGTTATCCAAGTTCTATGTTTATGGTTAGGTTGGATTTATATGGAATCCAACAATGAATGAAAGTTATGATGATAATGATATCTAATGAATGATAAGAAATGTTCTAAGGTAGTCGTTCCCCCAAGTAATCGCCTGAGCTGAACGGAGCGGGATCTCCTTCCGCGGGGAGTCCCAGGATTACTTCTGATGGCTGCGGGCTAGCTACCCAAGGTCATTAGCGAGGGGCAATGACACGAGCTACGTGCCCATCAAGTCAAGTAGCAAGATAGCAAGAAATAATGATGAATGAGGAAATCTTTTAGATTTCGTCACGTGAAGTTGTGCTTTACATGATATGAATATGTGTGTGAATATGCTATGTGTGGAGTATTCTAGCTTATGTATCTAATTATGGCTTTCTAAGACTCCGTTATTTTAGTGGATGTAATGGTGACTTACTAAGCATTATTGCTTACGAGACTTCTATTTTCTCGTATTCTCATGTATAGGTAATGAACGAGGTACGGAAGCCTGAGAGAATGTATGGAGTCGGTGACAAGGTTTTGGATGGGTTAACGGAGAAGATCGACTATCAGTTATGTTGTGGTTTTAGTACGTTGGTACTTCAAAGGGTTGTTAAACGTGTTTAGAATTCTGATCAGGTGTAATGGTTTTACAATTGTTTTATTTTGGATGCGTTTCGTTATGGTTGTAAGGTTTGATTTGTTCTAAAAGAAATAAAGTCTCATGTCGAGGCTTTGTATCTTTATTTCCGCTTGATTTAACGAGTCTCTTTTATGTTTGAGTATCGTAATGGTCATTTTGGGGTCGGTCGTTAGAGTAACATATAATTTCCTTATGTAGCAGCATTACGTAAATTTCTATACTTGTTTTTCCATGTTACATATAAATCCTCCGGACTTTGCATTAGAAGTTAATAACGGAACACACCAAAAGGCATCTGAAGTTAATGCCTCTATGATTCTTCATCCGTCATTTTTAAGGGGTTAAGTTTTGTAAGACATCCAAATGCACGTTTGGACATAGGAGTACTAATTACCATCAAATAACTATCCATTTGTATTTTTGTGTATAGCGATGGGTTTCAAAAACCAAAAACTGAAAATCAAGTCGGAACAAAATTATACTGAAGCACAAAAAAACTGAAGCAGAATGCAAAAAGTCGAACTGAACCAAAATTGTTTGATTTCGAAGTTGTCGAATAAATTGAACTAATTAAAACCTCGAACTGAATGACAACTTGTTCACAAACAAAAAAGTGCTATGAATGTACTTATGCACTGTACATTACATCACACATAAGCCACTTCAATGACAACACTCAATGCAAAATTGTTCAAACTCAAAAGTGTTACATAAGAGCTTCAATTACAGTTCAGTATTCCTATCCTACATAGACTTCTGCTACAAAACACAGGACTACAACCACACCTATGACATAAAACTTCCTAAACCTCTTTATGTCCTTGACCTCAGTTTCAACAACGCTTTTCACACAGTTTACATCAGCTTGAACATGGCTTAATTGTTGGACAAGACCTTCAACCATGATCTTAACTTCATCCAACTTATCTTTCTTGTGGCCAGACATGAGTATGTCTTCTCTTCCTAGGTCATCCTACCATAAGAAGTATCTGCACTCATCAACATGTACACATTACAACACACTTTCGCACTTCAAATTCATTTGTACATGTATCATAGTTTCACGGAAACATCAGTGCCCAGGCTACGAATTAAAAACGAACACAAAATGTAATTTACTTTTACGAATTACCAGCCATTTTTTATAGCCATAAAATTATCTCCCGCTCTCCCTTCCGACGCATAGCGGGGCTTTCAATCCAAACCAACAATACACCGCAAGCTCGTATTTAGTAGTGCTCTTTCGTTCTTTTGTACTCGTTGATGTAGACGATGACACCATTGATTGTCACGATCTGAGGAAATGGAGAAGAAGAACGACGTAGTGTTAGGGCATATGGTAACAATTGGGAACATACAGACTCTATTTAATTGGGTGTTAATTGGGAAACGATAGGGAAGAAAGCTGATGTGTTAAAAAATCTTTACTCAACATATTAAGACGGGTAGACAAGCTCCACATAAGCGCCAGGTGAGCGAGCAATGGGCAAACTGGGAGACAACCGGTACTGTAGACTTAATTGAGTGTTTCGGAGACTTGCCGGGATCAATTGAGTGTTTCGAAAGTACGAGAGCGTAATTGACGGTTCACGTATAGTATTAGGGCGTAATTGATAGTTTTCTCAAATATCTTTGTAGCATAAATTGTGCCATAAAGACGTGTTTTTTCCATGCGTACATTTTTTAAGATGAATAACATTTGAATGTCTTGAAATCATCGAATTATAATGTACAACACTCCATCAGTTGTTGTCCTGCTACTTTTATTCCAATGTAATTTGAACATTCACTACTACATTTTCGAGTCTAACGTAACATTAAAATTGTAACGTTTATTGAAAGTGTTACCTAAAATCAGTCTATTGTAATAGTTTTGAAGGTTTCATTACATTTAAGGCAAAAGGGTTGCATTTATTATAGTGCTAATGTAACGCCGGTATATGATTTAATAAACTATTACATTTGTTCGCCCGATGTTACTTTTGGTGGACTCTAATGTAACACATTAGAAGCGGCAAAATTGAGCGCCATATTTTCATTAAAATTACGCTAAAACTATAGCTCTTAAAAGCAAGATGGTAGAAAACTCTGCTCCTGCTCCTGCAAACACTTTACTTCTTCAGCATAGCTAATCACTAGCTCCAGTTCGCAGAGAAAAATGCCACAACTAGCCGCCTCCTCCCATCGGATAGTAGACACAGCTTGCCTGTGCTTCTCCTTCCTCCCATTTACTGCTGTTGCTTTCTTCGACAGTCCGTTGGATAGCAGACAGCTCTGGAAGGATGGACTAGCCTCCGTCTCCACACGGAGGACGCTCCTTAGGACCTACCTCGCCTTAGCCCTAGTTACGGATGGATTAAGTCGATAAGTCCCTTCCTTCTCTTTGGATTCCAGGCCGACGATCCAAGGCCTATTATTTTAATTTGGAGGTTTTATCCGTATTATTGACTAGGAAAGAGATAACCTATTTATCCTGAAGGACAGAATCGTGTGAGAATTAATTGCTTCTTGACTTGGCTTTCAAAGGCAATTACTAAAACCTGGAGATCCTTAGACTGCTCTGGTGCATGAATTGTATTTTGGCAGATTACCCAAGTGCTTAATAAGTTCAAAGTTAATAAAAAACGAGTGCACTGTATAGGGTAAACAAAGAACACTTGTTGCTTAACGTTTTGACAATTTCTTGCTAATGAACAATGATTTTAGACGTTTGTAAAGAATCAAGGTGCGATTTTATTTCGTAATACATTTCACAGAAAAGCTCTTTTGCATTCATCGCCAATGATTTTTGCTTTGTTCCGTCACAGAAAATACATTTCAGACGTTTGTAAAGAATCAAGGTTCAATTACAAAATTATCACGTGTTTTATTCACTTCAACGTATTTAGAGTCATTAGATACTAGATCCCTACATATTTGTTATGTCTTTTCATGGACAAAGGACTTATTTGATCGAGAATGTGTGTGTGTACACACACAGAGAGTGACAGAGGTGATCTAGTCGGGCGCGTCTGATTAGACCCGCCGTGCAGACTTGCCCATTCGAGGGCCTTTTTAATTTGATGGAAGTTCTTGATGAAATTAATTATTTAAGCACATTCTTCATCAAAACTAACTTATCTATACAAAATTTCAGCTCAAAATATTATCGGATATGCAGTTAAATAAATTATGGAAACATAATGCGCTTTACGTGTGTGTGTATAGGATCAAATGAGAACCATATTTAACATGAGAATGTGATCGAGAACTCCAATTTTAAGCAAATGTGTTACCAATCTAACTCCACTTTTATTTGATTTTGACACATTTTGATCAAAGTTTAAAAGGTGTTAAAGGTGAGCCTCATACTATACGTGAAATAATTTTGCCGTGTAGAGAATTAAGAGTAAAGTTAAATTTCACATTTCTCCCGTGGAACTCTCTTTTCAATCATCATATATATAGTCTATATATACACTCAAGGTGTCTTCTCTCTTCATTCGTAAATATACTGAAGCTCCACATTTCTTGAAAAAATAAATTCATCGCAATTCAAGTATAGAAATGAAATTTTGAAAATTTTCAGCACTGATCAGCTAAAGCTTCTCTTTCCCGGGTATGTATGGCACATAGTAAATTTCTCTACTTGTTTTTTTATGTTATATAAATACTCCAGAATTCGAACTAAAACGGGACAGGAGGACGTCTGGAAATTTGTTTATTAAGCTAATTAATGTCTCTGTGATTCTTCATCCGTCATTTTTAACGTACTTCCATTTAATATAATTTAATATAGGTAGATTCTATGGTATCCTTTAATATATCCATCATAATTATTACGTGACCACGTCTGAAATGTTGTTTTTAATGTGTTTTAATAAGTTGTAATATGCTCCATTTGATAAGTTGGTCGATGTTTATAGTCTATAATTACAATTACTAGTAGTTTTTGGGTGAAATTAATATCAACATATCACAGAAAAAACTGGGAATTGAGCTGGAAAGAGCACATAAAAAATACGCTAATATAGCTATACTGATAAATTAGTTTATGTAGAATTTAAAGCGGGGTTTTCATATAATCTGGAAGTTGTATATATCATTTTTTGGTTCCAATGTTTGTTACTTATAAATTGTTGTTATTTTACTTTAAATGAATTGATAGACAAACATTGAAGACATGTGTATTGGAATGACGCTTTCTGTAATTATATTTCAAAAACATGTGTATCCATTTTCAAACTCCAATTTTTATCTTATCAGGGTGTTTAGAAAATGACGTTTCGACCAAAAAATGACGGTTTGATCCCTTTTAGCATTTTCAATAAATAAAAACGTTATTTGGTAAATAGTTGTTCTGTCCTAGCGTTTTTTACGGAATCGCTGAAATGAAAACGCTGCGAATATGAGGGTTTTGGATTAACATTTTGAAAAATGACGTTTTCTATTAAATTTTATGGCCAAATAGTAAAATTACTAACCATCGGTAACCCGCCAACTGAATCCGCTATTGACAACCCGCTAACATAATACGTTTATCGTCTTAAAACTGCGGGCTCGGGATAAAATGATGAAATATTAAAATGACACTTTACATACTCGGTAATTTCAATCAAAAAGTCTCAAGTCTAAAGTGCTCTTTGCTTTACATACTTGGTAATTTTTAATAAAGTCTCTTTACAGTTTTGAAAAGTATTAAACCATCCGGAATCAATGCTCCGTTAATCAACTCAACTTTCTACTTTATCTGCAGAAAACGGTTTATTTACTCGGTTGATTTAGTTTTTCAAACAACCAAGAAATGGTCAATCTTGGTTATGTTAAACTTCTGTGTCGCAGAGATAGAGAACTAGAATTGTGGCATCCTCAATCCTACCCCCTAATTAAGGATTGTTTATTACTTTCTTTTGATTATAATGTGTACCGTGTACATTATTTGTATTTGATGTAATACATGAATAAATTCTGAGTAAGATATCATGAAAAACATATGTCCATGTGTATGCGTTTTCATGTAATACAAGTATGTTTTTGGAGAAAATTCCCAAACAACAGGAGTTTTCAACATTCAATACAAAATCACGGGAGTCCCTATTAGGGTACCAAAAAACAGTCCATATTAGGGTACCAAAAAACGGGATTTGGAAATGCCAATTCCGAATGAGAGGCATGGGTAGTTGGTTAGATCGGTAGGGTGGGGATTAGGTGCTTAGGTATAAAATCAAATTCCGTTTTTCTTTAAAATGTTTTAACTTTTTTATTTATACTCTAATTCTTAAAAAAATATCAAAATTTTCATAACTTTTTAAGATCTTTAATATAACATAAATATTGCATATGTAAAGTTTAAAAATAATATTTGAAGTTTCAACTGCAAGATCTTTTTATATTAGTTTGATTTAAAGGAATTTTATCAATTTCGGGCCCGAAACATAGATGAATTATCAATCCGGGACCTGAAAGATTATATGTATCGGTATAGGACTCGAATGATGGAAAACTATCAATCTAGATCTAACATTTCATAGGTTATGATTTATTTAATTTTTTATTAATTTCATTGCAAGTTTTTGATAAACTTGTCTTTACAAAACTTTTTAGTTTATTAAAAATAAATGATATTTAAAATTTTCAAAAAACAAATCATGACAATTTGGACCCTAGATTGATAATTTTAAATCAGTCAAGTCCTATAATGATAGTTTTTTATCATTCAGGACTTATATCGATACATTTAATCTTTTAGGTCCCGGATTGATAATTCATCTATATCTTTCGGGTCCTGAATTGATAAATTCCTTATTTAAAAGATTCATTTGCTAAAATTAAAATCTCATTGTTAAAAGTGATGTAACTTTTTTTATTTGTATTCCAATTTTTACAAAAATTATATCAGAATTCATAATTTTTTACGATCTTTCATATGACACCATTAATGTGTGTATAAATGTTTTTTTTTTAAATTGAAGTTTCAACACTAGGATGTTTTCACATTTAAATTTTTTCTTAAATAGATCCAAATACTAAAATTAAAACTCTGTCTTAAAAATAATTGAAACATCTAAAAAAGTTCTTGTAACAATGAGATCTTAATTTTAGCACTTGAATCAATTTAAGTAAGAAAACATTTGGATCCAAAAACTTTCTACTTTTAAAACGTCAAAAAAAAATTTAAACTTTATGTATGGAATATTGATGTCATTAGAAAGATCATAAAAATTATAAATTTTGGTATATTTTTTATAAAATTTGGAGTACACTTAAAAGAAAAAAAACGGGATTTTACATTCAGTACCTTGCCCCTACCCCTCCACCCAACCAACCCCTGCCCATCATTCCTTTATTTTGCTTTAGATGTTGGCTTTTCCCGTAATATAAGAAAACACCCATGTTTTGGAATTTTACCAATCCGAAACCTGAAAGATGAAATATATCAGTATAGGACTCGAAAGTTTATTAGTTTAATAAAACTAAATATTACGTAGTATTTAGATTTTTTAAATTAAAAATAATAAAAATATGAAAACTTAGGTCCTAAATTGTTAGTTTTCAATCATTCGGGTCCTAGATTGAAAGTTTTTCATCATTCGGGTCCTAGATTGAAAGTTTTTCATCGCTCGGGTCCTAGATTGAAAGTTCTTCATCATTTGAGTCCTATACCGATACATTTCATCTTTGAGGTCCCATGATGGTTCGTCTATTTTTCAGGTCTCGGATTGATAAAATTCCCCCATGTTTTTTATCACATAACTGTAAAAGTTCACAACACTTTAATACTCTAAAAGTGAAAATAAAACCTCAATTTTGGAACAAAGGCAGTATATATAATGACCACAAAAATTGCTTATTCATTGTCTTATACGAGTATTAAAATGATGATTTCTTTAATTACACTGAAATGTGGATGTGAGATGCAATTAATAAGTAACCACCAAAAAAGCTGGATTAAAATGATCACTAATATATAGCTTTATGGTTCATGCAGTTTCTGGATGCTGGCAATCTTACGATGACTCGTATTGTAACATATGTTTATGGATCAATCTTTCTTGTGACAAGCTTACTATCTTGGGCTGCTCGCGATTTTGGTTATTCTACTTTGAAAGCAATGAAATGTAAGCATGCTTCTTGATTAATCTAGCTAGCCAAGTTTTTTAATTTTTTTCCAAGTATTGTACTTCTCTAGGATTTCCATGCTTCTTGGTTTAGCATTTAAAAAATTACCCCTTGGATTAGTAAAAATTCTCCAAGCTTGCTTAGATAGCATAGCCGGCCGTTTTAGGCATACAAAGAGAAGACCAATCTTTCCATCGAATCCCTTTACTCGACATGCCCTTCCACCAGTACCCATTTATAGTAAGTTCGATAAATCACACAGACTACCATTAATTTCAGTATATTTTATAGAAGTGTTAGTACCCTAAAAAATGGGATATTTTTAATTTATAGTACGACTAAAAAGATGAGTAATTAATATTTTTACAAGCCCACATGAAAATCTCAGTTGGTCATAGGGGTGAAAATTTAGAACGATGATCCAAGATCGAATCACGCCGACTATCTCCCAAAGTGAAGGGGGCTCCTTCTGGCTTCTGCGAAGTGGGCACAGGTCTACCCTCTACCCTCTATATTTACCTGAGTTATCATGACTGACAACCCTCATATGATGTACCGGGCCCTTCGGGTTGGACATTACTCAACCTTATGGAACAATGAAATAAATAAATAATCCCTAATATAAGTAATATTAGTAACATCGTTGTCGTGGCCCAGATCGAGATTGTACTACAGTTGATTCTAATTTCTATAGAATCAAGATAAAATTTCCAAAATGAGAATAAAATAAGGATAAAGTTAATAAATAAAACAATTATTGTAATTTTCAATATAGGACTCATTCCTCCATATTTTGGGATGCTTTAATCAACTTATTCTTTTAATAATTATGACTACATAAATCCTATTTATAGAAGAAAACAAATTCGATCCTACTTTAGAACATTAATATCTATCATTTGATCCTTTTTTCAAACGTTATTTTTACTTCCTTGTTTTAGTCTTATTGTAAGAAAATTTCTCTTGATTCCAATTTGATGTATATGCTAATAATTTGGTTGTAGGGCTAAGAGATTGCAATGGAGAAGAAGTTTGTTTGGGTGCACAAGGCGCCTTGAGAGTGAGTTTGGGGTGTTTCGTATCCTTTTTAACACACACACACACACACACACACACACACACACACACACACACACACACACACACATATATATATATATATATATATATATATATATATATATATATATGAGTGAGATCACATACAAACTAGTCTCCCAGCTAATCTACAATCTGTCACAAACTGTGCATCTTTACATTATTTGTGTTGCATATTGAAATTCAAAGTGTCGCATATTATTTGTATTGCATATTCAAGTTCAAAGTGTTGCATATTATTTGTATTACATATTGAAGTTCATAGTGTACATCTTTTCATTATTTGTATTGCATATTGATGTTCAAAGTGTTGCATACTATTGAATTTGTAGGTTAGTATTTTAAGCATGGTTTGTATTTGATCTCTTATATAGGAGTTATTATTGTCATATTTTTTATCTTTGTCATATTTTTATTCGTAAAATAGGAATTATTACTGTCATGTTTTGGCAGTACAAGAGTTTAAACTGACGGTCAAATTTTGGAATTCTCAAACATTTTACTCTTATTTCGGGAATTCTCCCTTAAATATATATACTTTAATTTACACTTTTTTAGGGAAATATAGGGTTAATTAGTGCCTTGAAAATAGAGATTGTGCAGGGTTAGAACTTGACTATTTGGATGGTAGATATTTTATTTTATCATGTTTGTATCCACAGCAGGCGCTTCAACGAGGACTGGTCATAGAGAAGAATTTCACTCAGGGTGTTGGATTTTTAAAATCCCGATGATGGTTGTCCTCATTGTAGTTTCATTTCTTCTTCCGCCTAATATGATATATATCTATGGTAAACTCGATCATTCATTCTAGCTAGATATATATATATATATATATATATATATATATATATATATATATATATATATATATATATATATATATATATATATATATATATATATATATATATATATATATATATATATCACATCCAAATCATATTTAATTTACTAACCTACAAACTCAATAATTAATTCGTTCTCTTAAATAATAAATTAATCAATATATATAAAATATTACACAACCATCACAATTATCATTAATGATCTCATTATGTTATATATGCACATCACAATTATTTCTCAAAATTTACTCAAATTGTCTTACTTAATTAAGCTTGACATTTTTCAATGAGAAGCTTAAGCCGTGACACAAGCTAGTAGATTATCACTAATTAATTTTATTGCTTTTAAGTAATCCGTGAATTGAATCCCTTAATTAGCTTCTAAAGTGATACGTTTTGTAGCTTGTAAAGTGATATGTTTTATCCTCATTTATTCTCAACAGGATTGATTGCACATTTTGGAGCTGGGTATGGTTAAACTATCTAAATCTTCAATATTAATTAATTAATACTCCCTCCGTCCTATATTTAACTCCGGTTTTGACCGGACATGTGTTTTAAGATAGTGAGATTTGTGTGGTGGAGAGTTATGCAGAGGAAAAGAAAATGTGTAAGAATCGTTGTGAATCACATATTCTTTACCAAAAAAGGAAAAAGGAGAGAAATTTGGGACGGAACGAATAGGAAAGTATGAAAATAATTCCGGGACGGAGGGAGTACATAATACTCCGATCTTGCATCGTTTACATTGATGGATCGAAAAACAGATTCTTGAAAATGATAATAAATGTCCTGGTCCATTTTGGCAGGATATTTTTAATATTCCAGTTGGTTAGCATAATCACTTTCATACAAATGGTAAATGATTGGTGCTACTCTGATACATCTTCCGACAAACGGTGAGACCAGTAACTATAAACTTTGAACATAATTATAGTAACTAATAGTTCCTAGTTACTAAGTAATATTTTTAGCGGTAAGTAACTTTGTGTTTAATTAACAAGATTAGTTTGTATATGTAGTCGTATTATTGGCAGCATACTTGCAGTAGGTTCGAATTTGTTGGCCGGCGGCTCGATAATCTTTTTGTTCATTTGGTACGCGGAACGCACGTCTTGCAAACCTAACTATACATTTACCGGCGTAACTCTCGCTCTCTTCGTACTAATGTCTTGTGCTACTCATCGTTCTAAAGTAAGCGGTATCTATACGTATTGTTAGTGTATTTATAGTACATGCGTTCTGAATTAAACATGCATGCAGGCCAAGGCTACTTATCTGAATTCGGGTTTCATGGGAGTCTATATCACATTCTTATGCTGGTCTGCGATCAAAAGGTATTAGTTTAAGTTTCGTGAACATTGTAGCTTTAGGATGTTTTAATTGGATTAATTTTTTATCAGATCTTGTATCTATTAGTTTGTATCCGATCTCGTTTGATCTGATCTAGTACATCTCTGTCTATATGTATTTTACAACTATCGAAATCTGATCTAGCTAGTCTGATTTGGGACTAAAACCAGTCCAATACAAACATCATTAGTCCCTTATTTTTGTCCTGCAACTTAACTCATGTGTATATTTTAGTCACGGGAAAGTGCATGTAGTTTTAGGGGTAAACTCTAATGTTGGCAAGGTGTGTTAGCAGTAGTTTTTTTCGGGAAATTGTACTTTCGAGTGGAAAAGTGTTTAATCTAGACAGGCTTATTAGCTACATGCTACATGTACTTTCGAGAGGGGTGAAATATGTTTTACTCCTATAATAGTACATAAAAGCACTACCTCCACACATGTTTACTTTTCATACTCCCTCCGTCCCTTATAACTTTGCAAACTTTCCTTTTTTGGATGTTCCATTAACTTTGTCACTTTCCTTTTTAAGTAAAGAATTTGTGGTTCCAATTAATTCTCTCTCCTCTGCACAAACCTCAATCACACACTTTTCACTTTATTAATTCTCGTGCCGGTCAAACTTGGCAAAGTTATTAGGGACGGAGGGAGTACTATTCATATCCTCTATTTTAAATGTAATATATTTAGTAATGTATTATAATTTCATTTTATAAAAAATATTGTAAAAATAATTTCATTTTAAATTTTCAAAATCAGAAGTTTTAAAATTTTTACTAATAAGGAATGAAATACATTACTCCTTCCGTCCCATAAAATTCTTTCTGGTATGACTTGGAGCGGAGTTTATGAAACTGAGAATAAATTGGAAAAGTATGATTGTGGTTGAGTAACAAAAAGATAAATGAATCATGGATATTAGCCAAACAAAGCTTTCCAAAAATGGAACTGAAAAGATTTTTTTGGGCCTTCCTAAAAGGGTATGTGAGAAGAGTTTTGTGGGGCGGAAGGAGTAGTAAACAAATTTGTGTGTTTGTAAACGTATGTGGAAATGAAAATATTGTAAATGAAAAGAAACAGGGGGAGTATATCATATATTATTACTCTGTCTCACAAAACTCAACTTTGACTTGTAATAGAATAATAAAGTAAAAATTGTGTGGTTAAAAATTATGAAGAGGAGAGAGAAACTACTTTAAACATATACGATAGTATTTGTTACTATGAATGAAAGTGACAATTTTTTTGGAAAGACCAAATAAGGAAATTTGATCACGTTTTGTGGGACGGGGCAGTAACTTTCTCTATCATTCTTTTATGAAAGGATATACTTAAATGGGAGTACAAAGAGTTGCTTTTCATGAATATCCTGAGATGCAAACTAGAAACTTTAGGGGGTGTATTGTATATGGGTTATGGTACATTTTTTTCATTCATGGAATTTTAAAAAAGTACATAGACTTTTGAAGCCTGACAGCCACCGCCGGTTGATGATATTTCCTCACATAGTAGGACCAAAACATACGGAGTATCATTCTTTCCAAAAAGTTCATTTTGTGTATCAGTATTAATGTTGAGCCTCCCTTCTTATTCAAATTTATTTATCATAAAATGATAACGAATCAGAACTTGATTTTCCAACCTTATATATCGAGATGATCTTGGTACTCACTTGGTAAATAATTAGCCAAATCTATTCGAACCGGGTCTACGCATATTTATGACGAGTAGAAGACAAAAGTAAGAGTCCACAGAAATCTTTGGTGAAGACATCGAATAGACAATTGTAGAGAATTAATGTACTAAGAATGAGTTAAAAGTCCATGAGATTTTATGGTTTTCAAAGTCCATAAGAATGATTGGAAGTTTGGATTTTTTTTAAAGAACAGGGCATATTTATTTAAGAAGAAGAAATACATGGTAGGGGGATATGCCTGGACCTTTTAGGAATTTTAAAAGTCTACATTGAATAAACCTAAATTTTATTACGCACTCTTAGAAGTCTATTTTGAATACACCTAAACTTTTACAATCCACAGACGTTTAACATTTTGCTACTAGTTCCTTATACAATATACCCTTTTAATTACAAATGAAGTGATTAAATGTTACAAGATCAAGGTAGTCTAGGCATGGCAACAGGCAATGACATGTGCTCAACGGCCATTAATAGTAAAATGAAAAATGATGTTTGTACATAGTATAAAAGCCAAAAACTTCCTCCCCCTCCCCCTTCTCTCTTCCCTCTCTCTCTCCCTTCTGTCTTTCCTCTAATCCTAACCTCTTCGATTATGATAAACAAAGGATGACCCTCTTCTCATCCTCTTCCCTTCTCCACCCTCTTCTTCTCTATCTTTTCATATCCAATTTTTTCCATTACTTTTACAAAATCAGCTTGTTCGTCATTTTTCATCTATTTCTATTATCTTTCCATTTTTTCAAATTACATGTAAATTGATCACACATAAATTACATCATTCATTTGGACGTATATAGACAATTAAGTTTTTTTCTTCACCCAAATAATTTTAAAAAAGTATATAGACTTTTGAATCCTGATAGCCACCGTCGGTTGATGAAATTTCCCCACATAGTAGGACTAAAACATACGGAGTATCATTCTTTCCAAAAATTTCATTTTGTGTATCAGTATTAATGTTGGGCCTCCCTCCTTATTCAAATTTATATATCATAAAATGATAATGAATCAGAATTTGATTTTCAAACCTTATATATCGAGATGATCTTGGTACTCACTCGGTAAATAATTAGCCAAATCTATTCGAACCGGGTCTACGCATATTTATGACGAGTAGAAGACAAAAGTAAGAGTCCACAGAAATCTTTGGTGAAGACATCGAATAGACAATTGTAGAGAATTAATGTACTAAGAATGAGTTAAAACTCCATGAGATTTTATGGTTTTCAATGTCCATAAGAATAAATGGAAGTTTGGATATGCCTAGACCTTTTAGGAATTTTAAAAGTCTACATTGAATATACCTAAACTTTATTACAGGCTCTTAGAAGTCTATATTTTGAATACACCTAAACTTTATTACAGGCTCTTAGAAGTCTATTTTGAATACACCTAAACTTTTACAATCCACGGACGTGTAACATTTTGCTACTAATTCCTTATACAATATACCCTTTTAATTACAGATGAAGTGATTAAATGTTACAAGATCAGGGTAGTCTAGGCATGGCAACAGGCAATGACATGTGCTCAACGGCCATCAATAGTAAAATGAAAAATGATGTTTGTACACAACTTGTACATAGTATAAAAGCCAAAAACTTTCCCATTCTCCCTCCCCCTCCCTTCTCTCTTCCCTCTCTCTCCCTTCTGTCTTCCCTCTGAGCCCAACCTCTTCGATTATGATAAAAAAAGGATGCTCTTCTTCCCATCCTCTTCCCTTCTCCACCCTCTTCTTCTCTATCTTCTCATATCCAATTTTTTCCATTACTTTTACAAAATCAGCTTGTTCATCATTTTTCATCTATTTCTATTATCTTTCCATTTTTTTCAAATTACATGTAAATTGATCACACATAAATTACATCATTCATTTGGACGTATATAGACAATTAAACTTTTTCTTCACCCAGAAAATTAAAATTGGTCTCACAGACAACTAAAATAGATCACATAGACAACTATTGTCTGTGTGCCGCACAACTATTGTTTGTGTGGAAATATTTTTTGTGCACACAAACAAATAATTGTTTATGCACATGCAAATATTGTCTGCACACACACACAACACACATAAAGATTGCTTACACGCTAGTGTCAAAGTCAGATGACTATTAGTGTACATTTTTAAATGAAAACTAATGTATGTGGGCACAAACAAGAGTTATGCTCACACATAACTCTGTACCAATTGTCTGTTATTGACATTTTGTGTACAAACTATATACAACTTGTGTACAAGAAGCATTTTTGTAGTAAAATATACTACGTACTCCACAGTACTAATTATTTATAAGCATATAACTTAAGTAATATACATCATGTCTCGAAATAAATCTCTTGTTTGAGTTTGGCTTACTTATAGAGAAAGTAATCGAAAAGTTGTGTGTGTGTGTGGAAGATGTGAGTATGTCACAATATGTGGTAAAAATGAGCGAAATTATTAATAAATAAATTGGAGTACACAAAATTACTTGTGAATCCAAGGAGCTGAGCTAGTAAAGTAATTAAGTGCAATTCTCTAAATAAGAGTAAAAATAAATTGAATAAATATAAGCATAAAGTGTAAATTCTACTAACTATTCCTATCGTAGTTTTCCCTAGCTTGTCATTCGATCTTTAATAGAATTTACAAATATAAGACAATATAAAAAATAAATAATAGATTTTCAAGCAAGCCTCAGCCACCTTCCTGTACCCTCACCTCTCATCATCAGAAAAATGTTAGCCTGCAAAAAAATATCATATTGATGACAGTTTTGAAAGCAAAATTTGATATTTCAAAAGAGTAAAAATGACATCTTCATGACATTTTTAGAGAAATTTGACATTTTTACATAATATGATATGACATTTTCTCAACGATTAGAGGAGACAGTACTGGGAGATGGAAGATAAGGTGGCAGAAGCCTAAATATTTTTAATCTTATGTTTTAATTTTAATTTTTTTTTATTCTATGTTAATTTTAATTTTATTTTACTTTTTAAGTTATTATTATAAATTTATAATTTTCTTGTTTTTATATTTATATTAAATATAAAACTAGATTTTGTCATAAAGTACGAAGTAAGTCTTATTGGGGGTTTACGAAAGTGGGTAAAAAAGGGAGAGGGTTCATAAATAAATCCTATTTTAGAAATAAAAAACAGTTTTTTTTTAGAATCAAATAAAAAATAAAAAATAGTCTTATTGTTGCATTTTAGAACAATTTTACTCCTATTTAGGATTAATCTCTTATGTTAACACCCGGCCATCCTAAATGTCACTTTTTTCGAACATGATATGAATGCCAAATTTGATTGTGATTTGATTGTATTTTATCATTCATAATTAAGAGTAATTTGCTAATATTTTATACTGATTTGATTGTATTTTATAACGTATAATCAAACATCAATAAACTTTGACTTCAAACTATTGCTCTACATACTTCCTACGGAGTTTATTTCAGAGTAACAATATACTCATATGGGTACGTAATTTAAGGTTGTTAAGTGATACAGTGTGGTATAAGTTTTAGATTGAATCATTGATAACGATAGTTTGAGAATATCATCCAATTCATTATGATGACTTTTTATTCGCATTAGGACTTGAATCACCTCACTATGATTTTTTTTGAAATTATATCGTAATTTACTCTTTCATCATTCTGTCGGATTGAAATATGAGAGCGTTTGGAGCAATAATGATTGCATAATAATGATTGCATGCAGTGAACCACACGGGGGAAGATGCATGGAAAGGGGAGGAACAGACACGCCACCTAAAGTACATCTACTCACCATCGTGGTAATTTTTTTAAGTAATTCTGAATATATAACCAAAATAAAATTAGTAGACAAAATTGTGACTCTAGTAACTTTAGTGACCATAATACTATTGAAATGTTATATCATAGTGCTATAAAACTTACTCATAATAAATTATAGACACGTTTTTATCAACAGAGTTTTTATTAATAATATTTTAAGGAAAATCTCATATTTGATGTACAGTTGTGGTACTTATATACTTGGTATATTTGCTTCAAGCCTTCAACCATATTAGAAATACAAATTATTTGTACTCACAAAATCGCATATTACTTAATTTTGCTGGCAAACTCCATCAACTTGCAGAGCTTTGTTATCGGCTTTGGTGCAATGATTTTTGCGACATTCTCAACTGGCGTCGATTCGAAAAGCTTTCAGGTCCATTTCTATTTGTACTTTGTGGTGCTCAATTTGAAACCAACATGAAATGAAATACGATAGTATTGATGGGTATAACGACTTAACTAACTTGAAGGAAAGGAGAGATCACAAAAGATTAAGCCACTTACATACATGTGTCATTGCTATTTATAGCAATATAGTCACATGCAGTCTTATTATACACATAAGTACTAATTTGAATTACACAATTAACACTCTCCCTTAATTCAAATTCACTTTCTACACAAAACATATCAATCTTGTGCCTTGACTCCAAGCTTTCCACGAAATCTCTTGAACTTGTCAACTTGGAGTGCCTTTGTTAATATGTCTGAAACCTGTTGATCTTCATTGCTACAATATATGAGAACCAATTTCCCTTCACTGACTTTCTCCCCCAGCCAATGATATTTAGGCTCTATGTGTTTACTTCTTTCATGTGATACTGGATTTTGAGCAAGGTTTATGACGCACTTATTATCAACTAATAGTTGAATCACCTCTTTCCTTTCACCAAGGATTTCACTCAGTAAAGCACTTAGCCAAACTCCTTGACATGTTGCATGTGTTGCAGCTACATACTCAGCTTCACAAGTGGATAATGACACTTTAGGCTGTTTTCTTGAACGCCGGGATATTATGGCTCCATTCAGCTTGAATACATATCTTAAAGTACTCTTTCTTTCCATAGTATCTCCTTTCCGATCTGAATCAGAAAAACCCAGAAAACATATATCTTCAGATTTCACCTCCTTTGGATACCACGGTCCATACTCAGTTTTACCCTTAAGGTACCTAAGTATTCTTTTTGGAGCAATATAATGTGACTGCTTAGGCTGTTTCATAAACCTACCGATAAGTCCTACATTGAAGGAAATATCAGGTCTAGTATTGCAAACAAACCTTAGAGATCCAACCATACTTCTAAACAATCTGGCATCAACCTCCTTATCATGTTCACCAATATCCAGTTTAAGTTTAGGCTCTATAGGACTGTTTGCATGGTTGCAGTTAGTCATTTGAAACCTCTTTAGCATATCAATCACATATTTCTTTTGATGTATGAAGATTCCATCTGCTTCAACACAAAATTCCATCCCTAGAAAATATGCCAAGTCTTCCAGATCTGTCATATCAAATTGTTGCTTCATTTGAATCTTGAAAGCTTCAATCTGATTACTAGAATTACTTGTTACCAACAAGTCATCAACATACAAACATATCACCACAATATCACATTTAGATCTTCAGACACATACACCATGCTCATTTACACAGGTTCTGAAACCTATATTATGTAAATATGCATTTATTTTCTTGTTCCAAGGTCTTGGAGCTTGTTTTAACCCATACAAAGACTTTCTAAGCCTGAGGACTTTATCATCTGCACCTTGGATCTCAAAGCCAAGAGGTTGAGTTACATACACTTCTTCCAACTCTCCATTTAAGAATAGAGATTTTACATCCAACTGAGCCATCATCCACCCTTTATTACCTACCCGTGCAACTACCATTCTTATAGTTTCAATTCTTGCCACTGGTGCAAAACCTCATTGTAATCAAGTCCTTCCTTCTGTACGAAACCTCTGACTACCAATCTGGCTTTATATTTGGAGATTGCACCATCTGGCATATACTTGGTTTTGAAAATCCATTTCACATTTATTGGTCTTTTGTTTGGTGGCAGTGATGTAAGTTCACAGGTAGAATTTTTCTCTATTGATTTGATTTCTTCAATCATAGGTTCTCTCCACTCCTAAGTCAATGCTTCCTTCCAATCAAGAGAACCAAATTCAGCTAACAAGGCCAAGTGCAATAGCTCACCAACTTCATCAATCTCAGCATCATCATATACCTCATACTCACTGAGTCTTCTTGATTGTTGTCTATTTCTTTGAGGCCTTTGATGTAATTGCACATAATGGTTATCACTACTCACATTATCAAGATTCTCACAACTAGAAGTCCTCCTCAACTTCAAATAGGTTAGTGATTGGTCTAGTATCCCTACCAGATGAGTTCCAATCCTAGCTTTGTGTCTCCCAAACACCACATCTTCGTTGTATGCAAAAAGCTTGTTAGCAGGATCAAACAACTTATATGAACCTACAGTGTGATAACCAACTAGCACCATTGGAACACCTTTATCATCCAACTTTCTTCTCTTCTGATCTTTATATGCTTATAACATAAGCTACCAAAAATCCTTAAATGATTCACATTAGGTTTCACACCAGACCACACCTTCTCTAGTACTTCACCCTCCAGTTTCTTAGTAGGGAATCTATTCAAGATATATATTTCAGTATTAGCAGCCTCTCCCCATAGAAATTTTGGCCACTTCTTCTCTCTAAAATTGATGAAAATCATGAGGTTTTTACCAAAGTTATTTCTGATATTAAGTTGTGTGATGAAAAGCATATAGATGATTATACTCATATACCTCTTTTGAATGCAATTACTAATTTCTTTAGTGATGTGAAATCCGCTATAAAGTATGGTAGCGATAATGTGACTCTTGACAATGTGGTTAATGGTCTTACGAAGGTGATGGTAGAAACTCCGAGGAAGTTATGCATGTGGGGGTAGAGATAATAGTAGATGACCTAGATCTAAGTCTAGGTCTAATTCGAGGCATTGCTATTATTGTCATGAACACGATCATTTCATAAAAGACAATCCTAAATCTAGGTAAAATAAGCATAGTGAACATGATAATTTGACTATGAGTGAAGATAATTTAGGTGATGTTTTATGATGAATAATTTGCATGATTATGACTATTTGACTTTTGTGATATCTGATGCTTTGTGTAAATTAGATTGGGTGGTAGATTCAGGTTGTACCTTCCATATGTCCCCGTTTAAAAATGTGTTTTTAAACTATCGAGATATTGAGCATTATTTTGTATCATTGGCAAATGACCCTAAACCCTAAAAAATAAATGCAATGTGCTAAGAATAGGAGATGTATATCTTAGATTTTCTTCGAGTTGTGTGCTTACTTTAAAGAATGTTAGGCATATTTTGAGTTATGCTGTAATTTGTTATCTTGTGCTTCTCTTGAGAATGACGGTTTGAAGGGAAAATGGGGAAAAGAAATCATGAAAGTTGTGAAGGGTTGCTTAGTTGTTTTTAAAGTTGAGATGAAAAACAACTTGTATGTGTGTCATGCTGAACATGTTCTTGATTCTGTGAATTGTGTGCAACCTTGTGTGCTAGGAAAACAGTCTAGAGTTAGTTTTTCTGATCAGACTAAGTGTACTGATGTGCTTGATTATATTCATGCTTATTTGTGGGTTCCTTGTAGTGTTTACACTCATGGTGCGAAAAATTGTTTTCTGACTTTGATTGATGGTTTTTCAAAGAAAGTGTGGGCTTTGTTGATTGAGAATAAATTAGATGTTATTAATAAGTTTAAATACCGGAAACCCCTTGTTCAAAATCAAACCGGTAATAGAATAAATTATTTAATGACCAGTGCCAGTTTGGATTTATGTGACAATCAACTTGATGATTTATGTGCTACTTAGGGTATTTATATGCATAAATATGTTCCCTCTACACGCCAACCAGACGGGGTTGGTGAGAGGATGGTTAGAACTCTATTAGAGAGGGTGAGGTCTATGTTAACTTTATCTGGGCTGACTAAAAAGTTATAGGGGAAGTTATTTGTTATGCTGCTTATTTGATCAATATGTCCCCATTTGCTCCCTTAGGAGGGAAATGTCCTGAATTTGTGTTCACAGGCAAACCACTTGACTTGCCAAATTTGAGAGTGTTTGGTTATGCTACTTATGTGAATCATGAGAATGATGAATTTGAACCTAGGTCTAAGGAATTTGTTTTCATAGGATATAATGAACACATGAAAGGTTATAGGCTTTGGTGTAGGAGTTAAACTTGCTTTAATATGTTGATAAGTAGAAATGTCATTTTTGTTGAAAATGAATTTCCTTACTTGCTTGTTTCTCCTGATGTTGCTTCAAATGAGGTGGAATATTTGCCTATTAATATTCATTCTAGTTTACTTGCTGAATCTGAGACCAAATTTGTGAATGAAAATGTTTTTGAAGTTGAAAATAAAGAAAATGATATTTCTATTAAGGTGGAGCACGATATGAATGTTGTGTGCAATGTGCTTGAGTTGCGTGATTGACTTTATTTTCTCTAAATTTGCTTTATATGTGTTTAATTCTCTTTTAATTAAAATCTTAGTGATATTTAATACTACCTCCGTCCCATAATACTTGGCCAATTTTCCTTTTTTGGTCTTCCCAAAAAACTTCGTTATTTCCATTTAAAGTAACAAATACTACGTATGTGGTTAAAGTTATTTCTCTATCCTCTGCACAAATATAAACCACACTATTTTTACTTTATTAATCTACGTGCAAGTCAACATTGGCCAAGTTTTATGGGACGGAGGGAGTGTGTTATTTTCTTTGTGTTCTGAAAATGTGATATGAATTGATTATGTGAGCTCCATTTGTGCTAATTATAGAGATAATATTATTTCTTTTGTTTTATTTGTTCTTCTTTTGTGTGGTTGTTGAATTTGTTGGAATCTCAACTTCTCTCGATTGATTGATTGTGTGGTCAATTAACATACCTTGTGTTTGTTAATAGCTTTGTGATAATTTTCTCTTTGAATTCGAGGACCCTATGGTAGAGTTCAGTCCTTTATGGACTCGGTATGCTTGGTGATCTTACCCTGAGAGTACTTTGTGTCTCTCAATCACTTGTATTGTCGTTGTGATTATACTTGTAATTATTCGGCAATGATGAGTCCGCAGTTCCGTGAAATGTCTCAGTGCACTACCTTGGATCAAAGGTGGAGATTGTTAATATATTATTCGCTCAAATGATCTTTGTATATTAATAGTTGTTGACATCCTATTTACCAGCCCACTAATCCTATTCTAGTTATCAAGCTTGGTTTGTATCTAGTCTGTTTCTCCCATTTGAGTTTAAACTCTACTCATTATTGAGCAAATTAGTGACGTGTGTGATTGTGTGTCCCCTACATATCTGTCCGTCCAGCTTCAAGCTAATAAGTCAACACTTCCCTTTGTATTATTGAGATAGTCTTCCACTCCTTTGTATATGCCAGTGTTTTCAGTTGGCCACCCTTCTTTTCTCTAGTTGTATATATCAAACATCTTTGTGAAACCTTTGAGAGGACGGGAAAACCACTTCTTTGTCAAGCTGAGTGAGGAAGGGTGTGAAGGAGGTAAAATAGGTTGTTGCTCCCTTAGCCTAGGTGTGCACAAGAGAGACAATCGGAATCTGACGTTCGAACTCCCTGAGCCGAATCCGGTCGACGGAATAGATCCTGATCAACAAGAGGAGCCCATCCATTATATATCAATACTAGGGATGTGCAAAAGATCCGGTCATGTTGGTCTGTTCCAGAATCTTCCAGTTCCTTTCTGAGATTGTCTCGTTATATTTGTGACAAATTACTTTTGTCTCGTACAGGTCTCGAACCGTTTCAAAACAAAACGGGATCGGACAAGTAAAATATATCCCGTTGCGTCATGCTGTCCAGAATAAAAAATTGCACATTGTAGTAGGTTAGTGAGTCTACCAACTACTCACTATGTATTCCAAATAATAACAATAATAGTAATCCTTTTTTCACAGTCCAAAGATCAATGATTGTTAAAATATTAGTTGTTTAGCAAAAGAACACCTAAAAAACTCTAAACTACCTAGTATCACATACTATGAAGTATCATTTATCTACAAAAATGAAATTGATTTTTACTCCCAAAAGCTTCTTTTCGTATAGAATTCTTTTATCAGTTTTTGTTTACAGATTTCTTGACAGCTTTTTGTGTTAGAATTTTTTTTTGTTCCAACTTTCATTTCTTTCACCCAATCTGGTAAGTTGCATTTTTGTCTTAACATTTTCTAGTATAGCTGCAGTTTTTTTGTCAGAGTTTTCTTGCGCTAGATTTGTTTTCAAATAGTTTTGCTTTCTTTTTGGGATTGCAATTTTTTCACTACGTACAAATTTTTGTGATGTCCTGGATCGTCCCGTTTTGTCCGGGTACTGGTTTAAATGGGACAACAAAAGGACAACATCTTGTCCCATCTCGTTCTGAATCGTTATTATAAACCGGGTTCAGTACCGGGACAATCCAATTCTCGTTCCGTCCCGGACCGTGCCCACCCCTAATCAAAACTCATTTGTGAACCTTCATTCTGGTAGCTACAACTATAATATACAATCAATAAATAATCATATTCTTTTTTGCTTTCTACTTTGATTCTTTTACGTAGTCCAACATATTTTCTTTATCTATTTGATTGTTTGGATTTACATAAAAATTGTTAAACATTCACCAAATGAAATGGGCTCTTAATTATGTTATTTTCTCTAAATTATACATGTAGTTCAAAATAAAGGAGCGCCGAGATGATCATGTTCCATATGGTTATGGATTCTTTCATCTTGTTTTTGCGACCGCCTCCATGTACTCTGCAATGCTATTAGTCAATTGGAACACCAAAAATCGGACGAAGTAAGCCATAAAGGGTTGTATTAATTACATATATCCTTATTTTGTCTTTGTAAAAAATAATACGGAGTATTCTTTAGTATGTACTTCCCCCGTTCTTTAGTTGCAACATTTCCATTTTGATGTTTGTCGACATTTTCATTTACAAATTTGGTCATTGACGTATTTTATTTCTTATTAGTGAAAGTTTAAAAAAATCAGATTTTAAATGTTTAAAATGAGATGTATTTAACAATTTTTTTCAAAACTAAAATTTGAAATACATTAATTTAATAAATAAAATGTAATCAAAGTAGAACATATGAATAGTGTATATTTTACCGGTTGCAACTACTAGATATGGAGGAAATTCTAAATATACGGAGTTTTGAAACTTCGTTGCCAAAACACGGGACTTTGGTTTAGGGTGACTTTCGAAAAGCCGTAATCTGAATGAAATAGGATTTAGAAGAAAGAAAAGCTATATGGAAACCCCTCTTCCGAATGAACAAAAGAATAAGAAAAAGGTAAGGACTGTGTATACAATAAAATCTCGTTTTATTTAAAATGTTGTAACTTAGCTTTCTTATTTGTACTCAATTTTGACAAAAAACTATACCCGTATCAAAATTTATAATTTTTATGAGCTTTCATATGACACTAATAAATAAATCCAGGTGTCAACTGCACTGCAGGAGGTCTTCGGAACCAAAAGGGTTGAAAATCATATATGCAATCTTGATGTTATGTAAAAAATCATAAAAAGTTATGAATTGAATTTTGATATATTTTTTGTCAAAATTGAAGTACAAATAAAAAAGTTGCAACATTTTAAAGAAAATTGAGATTTTATTTTATACATACCCCCACCCTTTAACTATCTTACTGCCCTCATTCAGAATTGCCTATTCCAAATGACATTTTTTAATTTTTCTGATTGCAACTTTCCGAATCATGTAATCCCAGAAACCCTAAACAAATTCCAAGTTATTTTGCATTGCGTGTTGGCTTTTCAAGTATTCGAAGAAAATACCCAGTAGATATGATCGATATCCTCGTTTTATTTTTATTTCTCTGTCTCAAATAAATATGCACACAACAATGTAGTTAGGACTCGGGAATGACGGTTGCTTCCGTTATCCAGGTTTATGATTGATGTGGGGTGGGCTAGTACTTGGATTAAGTTCATATATGAGCTTTTCGCAGCGTTTATTTACTGTAAGTACTACTTCCTACACCGTTTTTTTTTGCCAAAATCATATCGGAAGACTTTATACTCTATGCTGATCCAATTAAGCTTTTTTTGCAGTATTCATTCTCATCACAAGGAAATCTGAGGAGGTCTGACAAATAAGGGACTTTGCGTCTGACAAGCCAAATTACGGGAATCGAAAGTAGGGTACGAATTTACGGGAGTCGGATTCACCAATTAGTTGTACATGGAATAGGTACAACTCATTTCTTCTTGAATTGGGACAAGTCATGCATGAGGATCGATGCTACATATTCACATCCAGAACTACATAGAAATGGCAATATTCTTTTTCATATATATGGCGTGGAAGTATATCTTTATACTTGCAAATGTAAACCAGAAATATTTTCATAAATTTTTCACTATCAAAGGAAATTATCTATGTGGATAGAGAATATTACTAGGAATGTGACTAGAATACGTGATGATTCCTACTTCCTCCATCTCGTTAAGATTGTCCCATTTTACCTTTTCGGGAAATCCTACTAAGATTGTCCCATATCAAATTTGGTAAAATTTGTGTGGCTCTAAATAATTTTTACTTTATTCTTACTTTATCAATTTAATATCAACCACACAAAACCACTTTTCTTAATAATCCTGGCACCTTCTCTTGTCTCAATCTTAGTGGGACAGAGGTAGTAAAATATATAGGATTGAATAGTTTTTTATTTTTAAATTAATGTTGTTTTAAATGTATGGTATGTATTTTGATCCAATGTGTTCTTTCTTAAATTCAATTATTACTCATATAGAGTGGTATTTAAGTTTGCTAGTCATACTTTAAGAATCTATGATTGTTTTAGTCACATTTAAGTAAGTTTTTCCATATACTTCATCCGTCTCTTTTTATTTGCAACAGTCAACATTTCACGTTTGTCAACGCACAACTTTGACCGTCATTATATTTAATTATGTATTAGTAAAAATAAAATAAAAATCAGATTATAAAACTTAGTAATGAGATGAATTTAACAACATTTTTCATAAAACATAATTCACATACATTAATAAATAAAATGTAGTCAAAGTAAAGTACATGAATAGTGTATATATTTCAATGTGGCAATTAATGAAATACGGAGGACAGTATATACTGAGTTTAGTATTTTGTTCTTTCTTTCGCAAGAGTAAAAAAGGAATGTGCATTGGTCGGGAAAATAACATAGAGGATACCATAACGAGTAGTATTTCATGCAATTTGGTATATATATGTTATTTTTATCTTCTAGCTTTTTATGTTCTTTTATTTATTTATTTTTTATCTTGGTTATATTCTTGTGCTATTATTATCTTATATTTATGTATCTTTATTTTATTCATTTTATCTTACTTTTTTTTCCTTTTCTTGTCCGCCTTCTCTTTTTGGCATCGATATCATAGATCGATTCATGTTAGCCGACCCCAAATTCTTTTGAGATTAAGGCTGGGATGTTGTTGTTGTTGGTATATATGTATTCCAACTATTGAATAGAGTTGAATATATAATACCATAACTCATAAGTATATATATTGAAATGTCTTAGCCAACGATACCATTTTAAGTTCAACACCATTGGCCATTGCATGATTTGCATCACACTTTTCTTCCATTATTGCATGTACATTCCTATTAGCATATAATTTGTATTGATGGAGTATATGGCCCGGGAACCCCCGGTCCACAGACTCCTACTACTCCAGCGAAGGCCCAACAGGCCCAACAGGCTCAAATCACAGCGCCCAGAGTACCAAGCAGCCCGCACAACGCGCCCGGGGTGCCTTCGGCCCCCTGGCCGAAGGCTCCAAATTCTCACAGAACGGGTTTCTCAAGCAAATTAAGAAACTGGGAGAAAACGGCGAAAACAGTAGCCCTCGGCACTGTGAGCCCTCGGCACCAGGGTGCCATCGGGTGGAAGAGCTCTCGGCTACTGCTCTATAGCCGAAGGCATCTCACTCGACAAGATATCCGCCTCACATGCGTACAGATCACCGTACCCCGCACAGACGTCCCATCCAACAGCCGCATTAAATGCGGCCACATGCGGCTGCCAGCGCCAGCCAGTTGAGGTGACCCCTCGGCCAATGAGCGCTTGACACGTGTCCCTGCCCAGCATTTATTGCTACTATAAATAGCACCTCATTTCCTCATTTGTAACCACGCTGAAAACGGCATTCATACTGAATACACTCTCTCTCTACTTTTACTTACTTGCTCTGACTTCTCTCTAAGTTATTCCCCGTAATAACCCTTCGGATATATACCCCCGGGTAGACTATCCATCATGTATATTCTAGATTATTCTCCAAATCTTTAGATTACACTAGATTACTAATTTCCCATAAGTATATGTCATATGTGTAACTAATTTATCCACCATAGCTTGTCGATGGGGACATAACAAGTAGGGCAGACATTTGGAACCTAAAAACAAAAAACTGAACTGAAAAAACCGAACTGTATTGAAACATATCAAATCAAATCGATCTAATGTAATTTGGGACCTGAAAATCGGGACCCAACAAAACTGTTTAAATTCTGTTTTTGTACCAAAAAATCGATTTTGCACCGAATCGAACTAAAAATTTCATTAGCAATAATAAGTTATTAATAACATAATAACATATAACTATGGTAATTGTTATTTTTTAGTTAATGGCATAGAGATATGTATGCAGTATATTAATATACTCCCTCCGTTCTCTAATACTTGGCCCTCTTTCCATTTTGGGATGTTCTCTATTAGTTGTCTCTGTGCGCTGGTGGTTTGTGCCTTTGTGGTTGGGCGGATGATCGAGAATGGAGTCGGGGAGTTTGGCCATTTGGGGATTTTGGGCGCTGGTTTATTGGTTGAACGTTGAAGTTGGGCCATGATTTTGGGCTCAGTTCTAATACTAATTTCTTTTTTGGCCATTCAAAATTTCGGGCCTTGTGCGGTTGGACTGAGTAGCCTTGCCCTGGGCCGGTCCTGAGGGTGTGTTTGGCATTTTCCGGTTAGCGGATAGCGGATTATGTTAGCGGATTGTCAATAGCGGATTCCATTAGCGGGTTTGACTAGTAGAATAAGTTGTCGGATTGTCAAAAGATGTTTGGTAGTTTAGTTTTTTGGCCAAAAACGTCAGTGCCAAACCGCTATTCACCAAACAGCATTTTCACTTACCAAAAACGTCAAAAGTGATCAAACCGCCATTTTTTGGCTCAAATGCCTTTCACCAAACATTCCCATAGTGTTTCGGCACAAAGCTAAGTAGACTTTTGACCGATATTTGTTAATCATGTTTTTAAACATGATTTTATTAAAGTTTGAATTCATCTAGATTCGTGAATAATACGTCTTCTCTTTCCAACTTTTTTTACTAATTTTACTTTCCGTTAATACAATTTCAACCTAAATAAATACATCTCCATTGGATCCCTAATAACTTTCACATGGTTCATCAGTTGCGTAAATATAATAATAAAGTAAAAAATGAGTAAATAAATACATCTCCATTCGATCCCTAATAACTTTCACATGTGAATGAGATTTTTTTTTAAATATCACTAAAATAAATTTATTGTATATAATTAATGAGTGGCTTTCCTGTCAGGCCGGTCCTTTTGAGGATCTTCTAGGTGGAATTTTTTTATGAACGTTTTTTAGCATGTTCTTCATCAAGACTAGTTTACTCATACCAAATTTCAGCTAAAAGCTCAATCGGGAGACAGTCAAATAAATTATTTAAGAACACTGCGTAGTTAATATTTATATAAACAGCGCAGTATGTTTCCAAAAATCATTTGACTTTCTTCCGGATTGAAATTTGGTATGGTTAACTAGACTTGATGAATATAATGCTCAAAACATTTGATCGAAAAAATCCACCGGGAAGACCCTCAAACGGGCTCGTCCGGACGGCTGCCCGGTCAGGTCGGCGTGACATATAGTATAGTTTTATATAGTCATTTATTAGAAAAAATTGTCTTATATATAGTCACTTTAGTGTAAAGATTGAACACTAATTACTATGACTAAATTACTATTGTAATCACTATATTTAAAAAATTTGTGAAAATATGTATTTCGATCAGTTATAAATATATATATATATACATAGAGAAAAGATCATGTGAGAAGTCCCCCTTAGGCTGAGAAGCTGTGAAGTCTAACTTATAAGCTAAAAACACGAACTTTTAACCAATAAATCATAACTTATAGACCCCCTCCAAAAAAATTACGAAAATGCCACCGCGTCAAAATAACTCCAGAAACCTGGAAAAAAAAATTGACACGTTGGCATTTTTCGTAATTATTTTGGAGGGGGTCTATAAGTTATGATTTATTGGTTCAAAGTTCGTGTTTTTTGCTTATAAGTTAGACTTCGCAGCTTCTCAGTCTAAGGGCACTTCTCACCTGATCCGCTACACACACACACACACACACACACACACACACACATATATATATATATATATATATATATAGAGAGAGAGAGAGAGAGAGAAAGGTCATGTGAGAAGTCCCCCTTAGACTGAGAAGCTGAGAAGTCTAGCTTATAAGCTCAAAACACGAACTTTTAACCAATAAATCATACTACCTCCATCCCTTAAAACTTTGCTAAAGTTGACCGGCACGGAGAATAATAAAGTAAAAAATGTGTGGTTGAGGTTTGTGCAGAGGAGAGAAAAATAACAGAAATCACAAAATAATTGATTAAAAGGGAAAGTGGCAAAGTTTTTTGGGACGTCCCAAAAAGGAATGATGGCAAAGTTTTAAGGGACGGAGAGAGTAACTTATATACCCCCTTCAAAAAAATTACGAAAATGCCACCGCGTCAAAATAACTCCAGAAACCTGGATTTTTTTTTTGCAGAAATTTCGTGTTTTTGAGAGGGTCTATAAGTTACTACCTCCGTTCCTATTAAAACTTCCAAATAGGTTTGGCACAAAGTTTAAGATAGTGGGTATTGTGTGGTGGAGAGTTGTGTAGAGGAGAGAGAAATGTGTAAGAAATTGTTGTGAACCACAAATTCTTTACTAAAAAGGGAAAGTGGAAGTTTTAATTGGAACGGATGAAAAAGGAAAGTTGGAAGTTTATTTAGGAACGGAGGGAGTATGATTTTTTGGTTAAAAGTTCATGTTTTTTGCTTATAAGTTAGACTTCTCAGCTTCTCAACCTAAGGGCACTTCTCAGCTGATCCGCTCCTTATATATATACGTATTAAAAGTTCTATATATATATAGATAGATAAGAGATCAAATACAAACCATCCTTAAAATACTAACCTACAAACTCAATAATATGCATCACTTTAAACTTCAATATGCAGTAAAAATAATTAAATATGCAGGGGTGTGATCACATACAAACTAGTCCTCCCATTCAAATCATCTTTACATTATTTGTATTGCACATTGAAGTTCAACGCGTTTCATATTATTCAAGCCATAAACTACCAGTTTCATATTTACATTATTTGTATTGCATACTGAAATTCAAAGAGTGCATCTTTATATTATTTATACTGCATATTGAAGTTCAAAGTGTTGCATATTATTGAGTTTGTAGGTTAGTAAGTTAAGCATGATTTGTATGTGATCTCACCCTATATATATATATATATATATATATATATATATATATATATATATATATATATATATATATATATAACATCATGTGTGAAGTACCCCTTAGGCTGAGAAACTGCGAAGTCTAACTTATAAGCTCAAAACACGAACTTTTAACCAATAAATCATAATCAATAATCTCATTTGTGGACTTTGTTTATATTTTAGCCCTATTTGAAGCAACCTATTCGTACTTTAATTAAATTTTGATATCATTTTAACGTCATCAGTGAGGTCACTAAAAGAAAACACAACTAATCCTTCTTGCCCCGTTGACACATATAACTATATTTATAGATAAATACAGCTATTTACTACGTATATAATTATAAACTCCATATAATATTCATTTATGGTTGTCTGATACAGGAAGTGAGTCTTCATCATTTGTAAACTTCATGATCGAGGCTTCCTGTTTGTTGAAATTAAAAAGACTCTTCAATTGAAACTTGAATCGCTTAGCTTTCATCAGCTCAAGCTTTAATCGCTTAGCTTTCCCAGGTATGTTTATGGACCATTGGAGCTTCATCCCAAACTATAAGCTTACCCTTGACCAAAAGTTCAGCAATAAATAGGAAATACATGTTAGTAATTACTCCTAAATAGGAAATAAATACATGTTAGTCCTATTTTAGAATTCTGAAACGTTTTTACTCATGTTTCACGAATTTTCCCTTATACTCCGTGCTAAGTTAGAAAGCACAGCATTACCACTTTCAGTTGAAAATTTTTATAGGCTATAATTTTCATATTCGACTTAAGTTCCTTTTAGTCTCTCGTTTTTTATACTCCTTAATATTCTTCTGATCAATTCGGGATTTGGATGTTGTGATTCTGGTACTCATATTGCGTCATTTCTGATTATGTTTAGTTCAAGCCCAGCTTGTTTCACACAGATTAATTTAAAATGATCGGTGACAAGTTGTCCGCCAATGAAATGTTTTTACAATGAGCTTAAGCATATATTATAATTTTTAAATTCTTATGTTTTTATGTTAATTAAAACTACATCAGTTCTTTTTTAGTTGCAATTTTGGTGAATTTTACACTATTTATATTCTCTACTTTGACTACATTTTACTCTGTGTTGATTAATGTATTATAAATTAATTTTTTGAATAAATTGTTAAATTACTCTAGTTTTAAATTTTATTATTTGATTTTTTTGCTAATAAGAAATGATATATATATATATATATATATATATATATATATTACTAGTCAAACTTGTATATTGCCGTATTGGTAAAGTACTAAAGTGAAATAAAGTATATATAGTAAGTACGTAGTTTTCACTAGCTGGTTAGTTTATAAAGGCCAAGGGAATTGAAGTTATTTAAATTCGGGCCGGGTATGATTGTGGTCATATTTTGGAATATACGGAGTGCTGTTTTTTATTTTATTTTCAAAAGTATATATGTGTATCCATATTGTTAAAGTCCAACTTTTATACGGATTATTTGTCATCTTAACTTTGTTAGGGAAACAGAATGATCAAACCTTAAAAAGACCCTTTCAATAAAGTACTTTTATCTAAAAGTACATCTTAATTTTCACTTAATACCCACCCCAATTATTTCTCTGTTCCGCGAATTGCTCCTATTTTTCCTCTTTATGGAACCTCTTTCCAGCCATCCCTCAAGTATGTAAACTAAATGGGGAAAGGTAATAAAGAGCGTGTGTCAAGTACTTATATTCTTTTAAAAAAGGATGACACCCCATCTCTGGGCCCCCCAATCCCGACCGGACAGTACGTTGGGAGGATGTAAGTTGGACTATAATCCCAATCTGACAGATAGAGAGTGGGGCTCTGTCCCCGGTATTTGCAGAGGCCCTAAGCTACTTATATTCTTTTAAAACTGCAACGTTGAGATTTTGCACTATTTGAACACCTTATTTTGAATATAATGAAACTATTATGTATGAATTATTATTAAATTTTTATTAAAGTCAATTTCAAAAATATTAATGTTTTTAAAGTAAATATAATTATAGTGAAACTTTTGCATTGCTAATGTTTCGGCAATGAGAAAATTCCCCAAATAGGAGTAAAACATAGGCAAAATACAAAAATAGGAGTATCATGTTTTGAATAGGAGTAACTTTAGTGTTTGAACAAATATACTTCTACCCAAGCCCCAACAACTATTAATTAAATGTTTAATTCATAATAAATTCGAAAACAAATTCAAAAAATCGTAGAAAAATAATTAAAAAATTTATAAAATAATTATAAAATAAAAAAATTTAAAAAATATTTTTTTTTAAATTTTTTATTTTTTTTAAAAAAAAAGGAAAATGGAAACTAATAATTCAAACTTTTAGCTATCTTCTTACAATAGTCTCACTTTTTGATTATTCGTGAATAATCCAACCTTTGAATCCGTCTTCATTCACTGGTCTCTGACCGATTTATGACCTGTTATTCCAAGTTATTTTCTTATCTTTGCAAAGATAAGAAAATATCTTGGAATAACAGGTCATAAATCGGTCAAGGACCAGTGAATGAAGATGGGGTGCAAAGGTTGAATTATTCATGAATAATAAAACTGTGGAACTAGGGTAAGAAGACCGCTGAAAGGTTGGATTATTAGTTTCCATTTTCCCAAAATAATAATAATAAAAAAATATTGATGTCTTTCCCACCGTTTGTACTACCTCCCTGCACCACCACCTCCATTTTCCCTAAAACTGTCTTTTTTCTGAAAATGTCAAAAAACATGGCATATTTCTCTTTGCGAATGCCAACATTTTCATTGTTTTCTGCCATAAATATGGCATTCGTACTGAACATGGCATTTTTTCTCCTGGTGACTGGAGGTGGTGGTGCTGAGGCGGCAGAGGTGGCGGTGAATTTTATTTTATTTTTTTGAGTTTTTTATTTTTTAAAAAACAAAATTATATTTTTTTATTTTTTGAAAAATAAATAAATAAATAAATTATTATTATCGAATAAGTCATAAATTAACTAGGTTAGGATTAAATAAGTCATATTTTAGAATTAACTAGGTTAGGGATATTAAAGGTACAAAATTAATGTTTACTCCTATTGAAGGAAGTTTTAAGTTTTACTCCTATTTGTGCAATTATGTTTATATTTACTCCTATATTGGGTAATTTCTATTCGGTAATCTGTGGTTGAATTTTCTGTTCAATTTCCAAGATAATTAAATTCTAGTATGCTGGTTACGTATTTCAGATTTCTAAATATATCCATTGCGGCAAGCTGTAATTAAAGTTTGAGCTAGCATGCCGAGTGAGCATGTCCCGGCCTGCAGTCATTCGGCGGCTAAATATGCTTATGGATCAATCTTTCTTCTTGCAAGTATATTGTCTTGGGTTCTTCGCGATACGGAATTCGGTTATACTTCTTTGAAAGGAATGGGAAGTAAGCATAATTCTTCTTATTTAATACTCCCAATAATCTACGTGTCAGAGAAATGAAAATAATCCAAAACGATGCATATAGTGATTCAGGAAAGTGCACATTTATAGTTAAAATAATACGTAGTACAAAGTTTAAATATGCAAATTTGTAGTTAAAATAATGCATAGTCGAATATACATTTTTAAATATATGATAATGCACATTTATGTTTCAGGTCATCTCATTTAAAACAAAGTACGAAGTATATATTACTGGATTCTATAAGTAGTACAAAATTGATTTGTATAATTTATTAGCACGAGAAGTAATCTTATAAATAGAAAAAAAAGACTAATATTGGTAATTTATGAAAGTGGTTGCATAGTGATTGAACATTTGAATTACCTATGGTTGTTCTAATGAAACATAAGGAGCACTATCAATTTGGTTGCAGGGCTAAAATACTGTAATGGTAAAGCAGATTGCTTGGAGGAACAAGGAGTATTTAGAATGAGTTTCGGATGTTTTGTATCCTTTTTTATCTTTGAAGAGATCCTATATATGAAGTGATTAAATTTTTAATTAAGTTCTAAAGAATTAGAAATCTTCATTAGATTTGAAGCTATTTCTTTAATATTTATTTGATTGGAGAAGGCTTAGCTTATTAGTTAATTATTATGCGCAATCGGTATCCTAATGTAGAGAAGGAAAATAAACACAAATAGAAATTAAAGAAAGTATATTTAATGGGAATGTATATATATCCCTAATAATTTATAGATGTTCTTATGAGTAGCCAATTCTAAAGCTCTTTTGTCTTCAAAACTTTGTCATTAAAACCTCACTGATCTCCAATGCTCCTAATCAACTCTAAAATGCTTCTCAACTCGTCCCTATTGCTTCTCAAACACCGGTGCCAGGCTCAAATTTCCTGATTTTGACTCCAAAAATACCAAAACTCGAACCAACGGCCGGTAAATATGACTTGAGCTTAAAATTGAGACTTATGACACCTTAAAGTTAGGAAAAAACTATCAAAAGCTAATCTCAACACGCATCAACGTCCAACACAAACCGCTAATCGGCTACTGTATATATCCCTCACTGCCCACCGTCGAGATGGGTCCTTGGTTAGTGAATCAACTAAGACTCTTCAACTCTTCTCTCTGAGTCTCGTTCTTGAAGTCTTTTAATACTTTTACAAGTACAAATTTGCCTTGTGTTTTGAATAAGTTTGTATTTTAAAATTTATCCTTTTGAATATTACAAACATTATATCGTGGACTTTGAATATGCTTTTTTTCATAAGGCGATTTTTATTCAATTTATCTGATTTTAAAAGTGATTTGTACATAGTAAATATTTTTCATCTGGGGCCTCCAAAATGCTCAAGCCGCCTCTGAAGACAAGCATGTATGTATTCTAAAACAAGTACTTTTTCGTTGAACTTATTTGAATCCTAAACTACACCGGATCAAATCTCCATAGTTATAAATACACGGAGATCAGACATCATCTATCAAATCAGACCAAACAAGACCAGATCAGACCAAATCAGAAAATTTCAATCCAAATAAGAATATTTGTTATTGTCCCACACCGGATATCTTTACAGCAATTAAACAATATATTAAAATCTGGGTTCCTCCTCCTGTCAGTTTGACCTTTTAGTATGAAACCTCATGCATTAACGTGGTATTAGAGCCAAATCGATGCACGGAATGGGTCCCCTGACCTATGAAAAAATGATGACACAATTATAAAAAAATTGACAGTGACGAACTGATGAAAAATGAACTTGTTGATTATATATACTACGTACGTCCCTCTTTATTAACCCATTTTTTTACTTTTTCAGTCAGAAATGAAAAAAGTTGATCCATTATTTTAATTGTTATATTTTTGTGAAACCTAATAAATTTATAATTAATCAAAGCTTAACGGCATTGACTTGAAAATTGTGTTTGACTAAATAATAAGGGACAAAAAAAAAGTACTATGTATGTAGTATACTAGTATGTACTTTAGCCTATTTTGAGAGAAATAAGGTCAGTGGTTAAAAAAAGATTGTACAGAGTTAAAACTTAACTGGTTCTTCCGTCTATAGATGTTCTTCTTTGTTATGTTTGTCTCCACGGTAGGCACTTCTGAGAAGGATAGCTGTAGGGGAAGGTGGCACTCAGGGACCATAGGAATCTGGATTTCCAAGATTGTGTTAATTGTTCTCCTGATTTTCATTTCATTTTTTCTCCCGCCGGAGATGATTTCAACCTACGGTATAGTACAATTAAGCTGCTCTACCTAAATTAGCACTTAACTCTTCTTTATTAATTGCAATATTATTGTGATATTTATATTTACATTAGTAAAATATTTTGATATTTACGATTAAAATAAAGATTATTTATTAAAATTTAACAAATGACTATAGTAGTGAGTTAGTAACTTAATCATTATAATTTATGTTCAATTTTTAAACGTAAGTGATCATGCTTGTCATTATATTGTAGTAACTATTTGTTATATTTGTGTAAATGATTAAGTTTTATTTTAGTCATAGTTTTGAAAAAATCTATTTATATTATTTGTATATTTTATTTTGACCAAAGAAATTAGTAATATGACGACACCCAAAACATATTACTCAAAATTAACATTGTTATATTTGACAAAATTTACTAAATTATCAATTTCATAGTTATTATCTAAACATAATCAAATACTATTCTTAAATTAAATAATTATAACATGTTGAATTTTACACTATTCACATGTCCTAATTTTACCACGTTTATTTATTCGTGAATTCAAATTTTGTTTCCAGGAAAAAAAAAACTATCAAATACCAGTACATCGATCTCATTTAAAAATTTCAGAAAATGAATTCTTATTTATTTTTACTAATCACAAATTGAATATATTAATCATCAAAATTTTGTATTGATAAAAGTGAAAATGAAAACGTTACAACTAAAAAAGGAAATAAGTATCAAGTAAAAGTTACACATTGTGAAGTATGAAAGCCAAACATGTTACAATTAGATAAAAACGAGTGCACATATGTATGATTTTGCTGCTATTTTTATGTTATTACTTGATTTTATAGTAATGTTTTATCATTTATTCTCAACAGGAGGGTTTGCATATGCCGGAGCTTGGTAAAGTAAACCAACTCAATTAAGCTTCCAATATACAGTCCAATGATATATTAGTTTGGCAAAAAAAAAAACTTGACTATTATAATAAATACGATCTGTTTTGGCAGGGTCTTTTTAATATTCCAGTCTATTAGCATAATGAGTTTCATCAATAAGATAAATAAGTGGTGCCACCCTGAAAAAGATGCAGACAAAAGGTACGTGACAGCTCTAAATAGAACCCATGACCTCAATTTTGGACCTAAAATTTCACGGCAGGTACGTCGTTTTTAGTACTCCGAAAAAATTGTGATTGAGCTTATAATAATTTCTTAAAATGAAATGCAAACTTTTGATATTTATATTCAAAAGACGGGTATTTCACCAAATTGGTAATAAAAAAATCCTGAGACAAATTGGTAAAAAAAGACCAAGTGATAGATTGGTCAATTTTTTGTAAGTGAGACATTCTTGCTCTCGACTTTAGAATTCTCGATATTTCATATTCTAAATATTGTGAAATTGACATTTTCAATAATTCAACTTTGAATTTGTCATGAAAAGTACAAGACAAATAAACTACTGCATTTAAAAATTTTACTGTAAAATTCTACTCCATATGAAAATTTTATTTATATGGAATATTTTTGCTTTTATGCCGGAGTATAAAAAAACTCATATTTAAAATATTAATACTAAAAATAAATAAATTTATACATGTGTGCTCAACTAACCAATTTTAAAATACTTATAGAATAGTCATATTTAAAATAAATATTACTGCAGTCCTTGACTTTAGAATTCTTGATTTTCATAATATCAGTTGTCTGCTAGCTAAAAGTCTGTTGAATCGGCAAATTAATACTAGCACATTCTGTTAACTTTAATTTTTAACTAACTACTTTCATTATCAGTTTGAAACAAAATATTAGTAACTTAATTGTTTAATTGTTACGACGTAAACAGACCATTAAGAATATGAAATAATATATAAGTATATAACTTAACTTTATTTTTTTATTTTTCATAAGTCTTGAAAAATGTTATAAAAATTATATTTATGTTTATTTTAAATAACTACTACCACTATCATTTTTAACATATGTACATTAACGCGAGCACACACGTATGAAATTGGTTAGTCGAGCATACACGTATAAATTTATTTATTTTTAGTATTAATATTTTAAATATGACTATTCTATAAGTTTTTTTAATTCTACGGCATATAAAATAGCAAAATATTCCGTATAAAATAGGATTTACATATGAAGTAGATTTTTTTAGTAGATTTTTTAAATGCACTAGATTTTTAAGTTATGTGCTTTTCATGACAAAATCAAAGTTGAAGGACCGAAAATACCAATTCTATAATACTTAGAATATGAAATATCGGAAATTCTAAAATTGAGGTCAAAAAATGTGTCGCTCACAAAAAAATTACCAATCTGTCGCTTGAACTTTTTTTTTACGAATTCGTGTCCGAAGGTTTTTTTTACCAATTTGATAAATTTCCCTGATTTTTTACTATGCTGGTAATTTGGCCTTACTACTCCTGTAGTAGCAGAGCCAGAGATGCCATATATGTTAGTGCGGATGAAGCTTTAACAATTTATATCCGGGAGACCAAAGTTTAAAGTTTAAATATACTTTTACTACTTATAAATATTTACACATATTTTTACATGACAATTTCTTTTTTGGGAGAGCCCTCTTCAACCCCTCCATTCTTCACGCATGCTCACGTGCAACCAGAGTTCAACATTTTGTTGTTTTTTTAGTGTAACATTTGGTTGTTGCTTAAAATTACTGTTTTATTTCTTCTTACATTTAACAACATCGATTTTTTTATGCAGTAAAAAGTATTGGGTCTTGCTTGTTTTGGCCAATATTGTGATATGGGTCCCGATAATCTTTATGTTCTATTGGTATGTGGTACGCACGTTTTGCAAGGTTAACTTTCTCATTATCTTGGGAACGGTCATAGTCATCGGAGGAATGTATAGTTTGTCTCTTCTTCCCGATGTAAGTGACATACTATCCCCCTTCTCTAAATGTTACTAGCTAGACTTTCAGGTTTCATAATTCATAACTTTGTAATTATATTTAATTACGTATTAATAAACATTATAAAAAGTTATTAGTAGTAATATTTTGAAAGTTCACATGAATAGAAATTTAATAACGTTTTTACATAATAATTTGATTATATATACAACAACAAAACATCCAAGTCTTAGTCCCAAAAGATATTGGGGTGGACTAACATTAATCGATACATGATATCACCACCAAAAGAAAAAGAAAGAAAATAAAGATAAAAAAGATAAGCTATTATAAAAATATAATATAAAAAGAGATGAATATACATAAAAATGATAAAATAAAAAGGATACAAATAATGTTTATATATAAGGATAAAAACAAGAGGGAATAAAGATGAGGGGAAAAGATGATACGAGATCACTCATCCACACGAATATCCGCCCTCCACTTTGCTCTCTCCAAAGCCATACCCTCATCCAACCCAAGAAGGAGCATATCACTTCGGACTCCCCTAACCCACGTTTGTTTGGGTCTTCCTCTCCCTCTCTTCCCTGTCTCTTCTCCACACATCTCAACTCGTCTGACAAGTGCATCACTCGATCTTCTACGCACATGACCAAACCACCGTAGGCGCGACTCCCGCATCTTGTCTTCAATAGGTGTTACTCCCACTCTTTGTCTGATTGTCTCATTCCTCACGCGGTCCTTCCTAGTATGCCCACACATCCAACGCAGCATGTGCATCTCTGGCACACTCATCTTTTGAATGTGACATTGTTTCACCGTCCAACCGCCATACAGTAACGCAGGCCTAAAATTTGCCTACATTCCTCTATGAAACTTATTTTGCAAAATTGTAAAACTACCAAAAGACACAGTTGTCCTGAACTGGAGCGACTGAGGGAGTATAATTTCTAAAGTTTAGAATAGACACTAACATTTCAAAGCTGGCAGCACCAGAACCGACAGAAATAAAAACAAACATGATAAAGAAAGAAAACAATAAATTATGTATATTTATATCAAATAAAGTTCAATCCAAACTTAAATGATAGATAGTTGTTGGGCATGCATGGAATAGCTCTAGGTCTCAAGCAAAGAAAACAACATGGCTCCTATGAGTCTTATGTCAATCGTTATAAGAAAATTTGATTATATATCAGTAGAAAATCAGAGGCAATGCAAGGTGTGTGAAAAGTGTAAAAAACTCAATGTTGCAACTATTAAAGAAAGGAAGAAGTATTAATATACATAGTATAATATATACGCAGGGCTTGTCCTGTCCAGTTCTGGGCCTATGGGCAATATGCTAACTTGGCATTATTTCCAAGACAGGCAGTAAATTATTCTTACTTGAAATTAGAATTACGATGTATAATAAAACTATGGGAATAATGACCCTAGCTAAATAGGATTAAAAACATTTGTATATTCAAAAGTAAGACTATCATATTTTTATTCTCCAAATATGAGTAGTTACTGCCATGTTTTCGCAGTATCAGACTTTAAACATAGCAGTATTTTCCAAACTTGACAGTAATTACTCATATTTGGAAAATAAAAACATAACAGTCCTATTTTGAAATTCTCAAATATTTTTCTCCTATATTTCGGAAATTCTCCCAACTATCTAATAAAGGTTATAGAATAAAGATGAAATTCAATTTAATATTATTTGAATTACATATTTGGATAAAAGTAACACCACACAAGTATCACAAAAGAACATTGTGAAGTGAAATTATCAATAATTGTTTTATCATCAATCTTTTCTAAGATTTCAGGCTGAATGGTTAAAATTGGTAATCGATTAAGTTTTTTAGACATAGTCGATTGCAGATAAATGGGATAAGGTTTGAGAATTGGGAGGCACTGGCAGCTCAAAGACAATAGTATGTATAAGTTACTGCTTTAGTGATTAAAAGGAATAAAAAGCCTTAAAGACAAACAATGTGAAGAGATGTGTCCGTTCCAAAAAAATGTGTTTTTATTGATTCACCAACAAATGTGGTGACTTACAATAACCAGTTCTACTTAAAATCAAAATTAAATGTATATTCTATTTTGAAACTTGTCTGGCTCTTTTTACTTATGTTTTAAGATTTTCAAATTGTTAACAAAAATTACACATTAGGCCTGATTAATTAATTGAATTTATAAATAAAAAAGAAGCCTATTCACATTACATATAAACAAATTCGGTCTATTTTTCTTTCTACTTTTTTTAATTCGGGCATAGGGCGGTCGCCCCTGCTGCCCTCCCCTTAGGGCTGACCCTGTATATACGTAGTATTATACATAGAGTAAGTGATACTACTGTATATTAATATACATAGTATATAATATACTCCATCGTTCCAATTTGATGATATCATTGCGGTTTACGATGTTTGACCGACGATAAAGCAAACAGATCCCTGACAGCACTCAAATTATTTTTAGAAAAAAATTTACATATTCAAAAGCTACATTAAAAGCTTTACAAAGTCGCAAAAACCAGAATCAAATTTGATAAAAATATGATACATAAAGTAAGAAATTAAGAATGATTTGTGTAACCAAGTGAATAAGAACTTATACCATATCATCAAATTGGGATAGTACATATTATACATAGAGAGAGTTCGATTCAAGTAAAAAGTGATTGTCCACGCAGTACAAATTTTAAATGAATACACATGTGGTCATTTGACATGCTCTGTTGGTTGCTGCTTTTAGATAGTTTTTGTCATCCCCTTTCGATTATGTACGATACACTATTGCACAAAAGAAGTCAATTTTTCGCAACGAAAAAAACTTTGATTTGTTTACAAAAGTTTCATCTCATTTTTATTTACTTTAATCTATTTTTGACATATTTAACATCATTGGATGCTAAATCCGGTGCACCGAATTTATTCTTATTTTTCATTATCCGTGACTTTTTATTTGATCCAAAATCTTATAGACGGAGTGTGTGGGGGGTGTATATATGTAGTTGTTTCAAAGAGAAAGTGTTTCCTAGATATGTGAAAGATAAAAACTAATCTTGGTCGTTTTTGAGAAATTTTGATGAAAAATGACAAATTTAGGTAAAAAGAGGTGACATTGTGGTAATTATAAAACTTTAAATAAAATACTCAAATAAATGTGTATCAACATATATAAAAAGAATATATCTACATCATAAAAGAATATATTCATAGGGGAGGGTTCCTGTGAGAAAGGAGTCTCAGGAGAGAAATGAAAATGAAATCCAACCACCAAATATATGAAATCAAAGGCTAAGATTGAATACAAATTAATTGTGGCACATGATAATTATGTTGAAGTTTGAATGGCTATTAGTATTCTAAAAGGAACGATTTTAATTCTAAGGATACAAGTGTAAAAGTCATAACCATTTAATTTGGAAATATATAACCGTAGCTCAACTTTCTCATATAAATAGGGTTTGAACATTAAATGCAATACATAAAGCCTATTGATTCAGACTATTTTTTCCTTTAATAGTTAATTTATTTAGGTTGTTACTTTAAATAATTAATACAATCCTCATATTCAATTAAATTTGTCGATTGTGTGGGTGCACTGTTATTCATATTCTTTTGCACTTTGGAATTGTGAAGGTTGCAGTGATTATTTCCAAACAATAATTCATTCTAATTCTCTTATTAAATTTTATTTCGAAATTTTGTATTCTCTCACATAAAATTCGGATAATTACTTTGGTAAAGAAAATATACTAATTGTGCATTATTTTAAATATTTCATCAACAGAATCCACCAAAATTTGTCCAATTGCACTCCGATATTAAATTGATGCACTTTTATTAGAAACATTAGGCATCATCGATTTTATTATATATTTGAATATTTTAATTGCACCAATAGTAATTGAAAAATAAAATGCACTTTACACATACTATCGTGCATTTTCATACATCTTTCTAATCAAAATGAATTAAAAAATGAAAATAAGTAGACACAAGTATGAAACATTCAAGGTTATACTATCATGTGCATTTAAGTATATACAAAAATGCACAAGTATACAACACGATAAATTTTACAATGATAATATTTTACCCAAAATGAAATGCAATTTAAACATGTGCATGTAAATATAAATAAAAGTGAATTGTCGTCTCACGCTTTCGAAATTTTTACATAGACATTGTAGTGTAGTTATAATACTAAAGGTGCAATATTTATAATCACATTAATGCATTTTTTTAGTAAAGGACAGAGCATAATAATAAATGAAACTGCATTTAAAAATAAAGTAGAAGATATATATATTTAAACCTAAAGTAATGGAATGGTGGATATTTTATACAAAACAAGGAAAAGGGAAGTCTTCCTCCGTGATATCCAACTTCAGAATGATGAATGTGTGAAAGAATCAAATGATGAGATAAAGAATTTTATTTTGATTGGCTGAAAAATAATTTGATAAAGACTCTTGTGGAACTATGAAGTAGCAAAAAACAAATCAGATGATTGGTCATCCATGATTATAGGGAGTCATGTATGGAAACCATTGAAAGATTAAATGGAAGTAACCGTATAAACTTTATTATGGTGCCAAATTCTCTTATTTGTCCTTAATGAAATATTAAAAGACTTCTAGATCTAATGGCTATAAATTATTCTCATTTCTCTCCTAAGATGATATTCTCACTTAAACCTAAATCTTATGATTCCGGTAAGAACGGACTTCCAGGAGAGAAATTAGAATTAATTTGGACCGTTTGATTGTATTATGTGGAACTGAGTTGTACATATGGTGAAACTGAAATGTGCATTAGATGATATTGAAATGTGCAGATTCAATTTTTTAGCTCAAGTGTGCATTATATTAAATGAAACTGAAATGTGCGAAATAAAAGGTACAAAAATAACATCACATCGTACCATTTAGTCTGGGACTCTGGGTTGTTTCATAGTCAAACAGAGGTTGTTATCGTTAGTGATGGACTAAAAAGAAAACCAACATAAATTTCAAGGGATGAAAAAAAGTTGCATGATTATATTGTAAAAAAAAATGTACTATATTTGAAGGGACTAAAAATATATTTAAACCATTTTAAAATAGAACTTTTAATCTTCTCCCATTATTTTTGCAATCAATAGCTAATATTCATAAGATGACGTTTTTGTAAATATTTAATACTAAATTGCAAAAAACATCATTTGAAATATGGGTAAGTACAAATATTATCAAAATTTCTCATTCATTATAAGAAGTTCTTATTGTGGGATGAGTTCTCACTAGACCTCCTTGTATATGTGTGTATATAGGGGGTTCTAATGAAAATGGTTTTTAATGTGTGAACATGCAAACATGACACTATTAACTCAATTCAATGCACCGTGAGGATCATCTGTTGTACTTTTCAAACTTTGGCCACAACATTCAAATATCATAAATAATTGCACCATCATCAATCATAATGTGCATCATTTTGGATTGTTCTTATTTCTCACAAAAAGAAATGCTCTCACGAGAGCCTGACCCTATATATACAATTGGGAACAAAGGAAAGCCAGAAATGAAAATGAATCCGATATGATGCGTTAAATTTAAGAATTATGCTTCACGCTATTTGGGGTGTGCATGAATCAGAAAATGGGTGACATTTTTGTTATTAAATTAAACCTTTTCTACCTATTTGGGGTGTGCATTATCATAATTATAAATGTGTATCATCATAAACCAAGAATACACGCTAATTATTTGTATTTGATCATCTATAAATGATCAAGATTTCATGTTGTCTAAATGCGTTGAAACTGATTTCATTGATATTACAGGCGAATGCTATTTCTCTGCGTTCGAGTTTAATGGGAACATATGTTATATTTCTCTGCGGGTCAGCAATCAAAAGGTATTATTTTTGTGATTGTTATTATTATTGTTGTTGTTATTACTATTATTATTATTAGTATTACTATTACTAGTTTACTACTATTAATGTTACTACCGCCACTACTACTACTATTTCATTTTAGTATGACTTCATGTAATTGATTTTTTGTTATTTACAATTTAAGTAGGATTTGTTATTTTAGTCCCAAAACTTTTGATTGTGCCCTCTACTAGCTAGTCTCATTATTTTGCTCACTTGCAAAATTGATGCTGCAGCTAATAAATATCTTCATCGGAAAATACATTATACGGATTGGAAAAGAACATACAAAAAAAGATGTCACCAATATTAATTTTTTCTGGAAGAAGTTTACTTTTGGATAGAATAGTACGTCCTTTCTCCTTAATAACTTAGTTGGCAAATCAAATTTACAAGTAAGTAATATGTAGTATAAAGAAACAATGGTTAAAATATAACTTGTAGAGTTTGATTAGACAAAAATATGACCACTTTATGTCTAGACAAAATATCACCCATTTTGAATTAAATGTAATCCACCTAGCCCATTGATTTCATCCATCAAAGTAGCTCTCTCCTTCAACTCTACCTCCGCAGAGGCATCATCCCCAACATCATCGTTGCAGACCGACCACCTACCTCATCATCGCCGCCCATCTCATCGCCGCTCACCATAGTCGCCCCCTTTCTCCCATCATCGCCCTCCCCTACCCTGCGTCAATTTTGCTTTTCTTCCCTTTCTGTCTGCTGAGTGGGGAGGCTGATAGGAATCGAATCAGCATCGTCGCCATTAATGGAGACGTGTGTATTACCAGATGGCGTCCTCATCGCAGGTTCGGATGCTACCTTTCCAGATTTGAACAGCGGTGTTAGGGCGAGTGGATTTCTTCTTCGTCGATGTAAATCGTTGCCTTCGTTGCATATCTGGGTCTTGAGCGAGTTGCAAAGGGCTAGGGGGCTGGGGTGATGTAGGGCGGTGGTTGTTGGGGGTAGCTGCGAGTTGCAGAGAGCAGGGGAAGGGAACTGGGGTGCATGGTAGGGGGTTGGGGTGCAGGGGAGGGGAGGGGGCTGGGGTGAAGGAGATGGGGGTGGGGTGCAGGGGAGATGAGGGGGTTGGGGTGCAGGGGAGGGGGCTGGGGTAGCAGTGGAGGATGCTAGGGGTGGGGGTAAGGGGTCGTAGGTGTCTCACGTGATGGCGGCGGTGTTGAGACGGAGGCGGCAGGATGATGGTTTCCGGCGAAAAAATTGATGGGAAAAAGTCGTCGGAAAATTTTCCGACGACACAATGACACATTTTCCGGTACAGTGACATCTAAAAGTGATGTGAAAACCGGTAGTGACATCTCAAAAGTGACATAAAAATCTGGTAGTGACAGACAACAATGACATAAAAATTCGACAGTGACATAAAAAATGACAGTGACATCATATTTTTCCAAATATGTGACCTTCTTAGTCACATTTTTGTCTTTTTATAAAAATGATCACTTTTTTGGAAATTGGTTTTAGTTTAGTACTACTAAAAAAGAGAGGCATGGAGTAATATTTAAGGAAAAAGCCCTAATATAAAGTTACAACACTAAAAAAGAATTAATACTATCAAAAATTATGAGGCTTAATTTAAAATTTTCTCTGCATTCAAATAATGGTTGCAGGGGCGGGGTCCATAAGGGAGGCATGGGGCAGTTTCTCTCTCTTATTCGAACCCCAATATATACTGTATATATAGAGAGAAAAATTCATGTCCGGAATTCTGAATATCTTTTAATTTTTATATTAATGTGTGGCTTCAAGTTCATTAGACGAACATAGCCCCGGAGAGAGAATTATATTATTCATGATATGATGTGTTCTACTCTTTATTAAATGCGTTTAATAATATATGAGTGTATTCTAGTGCGTGTTTGAACAAAAAAGATGACACCCCATCCCTGAGGGCCCACAACTCCAACCGGACGGTACGTTGGGAGGATGTAAATTGGACTATAATCTCAATCTGACAGATAGAGAGTGGGGCTCTGTTCTCGGTACTTGCAGGGAGCCTATGCATTTTTAGCAAAGTAACCCCTCATCGCAGTTGTCGGGATTTAATTTGAACCCGTGACTTAACGCTTGTGGCACTCCCTGTTAGAATGTAAACTTGATTTTGGGCTAAGTTAATAATTGATGTTTGTTGTAATGGGCAAAGCCCAAAATAATTAGGAGTGTTCTAGAGAGAAATGTTCTAGAAAGTTTCTAGAGTGTGAGACTTCTAGAGTCATTCTAGAGAATAATTAATAATAGAGTATTCTAGATAAGGAGAATTCTAGAGAACTCTCCACCATTTATTGTGGATGTGAGTAGTATAAATAGGTGTAGTTGTGCTCATTTGTAATCAAGCATCAAGCTAAGAAATCTTCAAGCAATAAAATACAAGTTCTCTCTTCTTCCATCCTCTCTTCTAGTTAGCTAAAAGCTTTTTCTACTTACACAATTATCTTCATAACGTCCTAAAATACTTAGCCTCTACCTCTAATATTCCAGCAAATTGGTATCAGAGCCATGGCTAACGGGATGCAATCCTTTCAATTCCCTCGCCTAACCAAAGACAACTATAGTACTTGGTGCATCCGAATGAAAGCAATATTAGGTTCACAAAATGTGTGGGATTTGGTGCTGAATGGCTACGTTGAACCGGAGGATGAAAGTACTCTTAGTGCACTCCAAAAGGACGCATTAGAGAAGGCTCGGGAGAAGGATCAAAAGGCAATGACTCTCATTCATCAATGTTTGGATGACAATCAACTTGTGAAGGTTGCAAATGCAACTACTTCGAAGCAAGTTTGGGAGATTCTTCAAAATACATATCGTGGAGTCGATAAGGTAAAACGCGTTCGTCTCCAAACATTTAGAGGTGAGTTTGAGTCTCTTCAAATGAAGGAATCCGAGTCTATTTCTGATTATTTTGATAGAGTTGAGAAGGTAGTAGATGAACTAAGGAGGAATGGAGAAAATTTGGAAGATACAAGAGTGGTAGAAAAAATTCTTCACTCTTTAACTCCAAATTTTGAGCATGTGGTAGTGGCTATTGAAGAATCACATGATATAGACTCGATGACTATAGACCAACTCAACGGATCACTAGTGGCCCATGAAGAAAAAATGAAAAAGAAGAAAGTGCAATATCCGTTGGAGCAAGCACTTTATACACAACTCTCACTCAAAAGAGGTGATGGTCAAAGAGGGCGAGCTAGGGGCCGTGGACGAGGTCGAGGCCGAGGAAGAGGACATGGTGAAAATCGCCAAGAACATGAAGAAGAGAAAAAACAACACCTTAAGCCGACAAGAGGTCGTGGAAGAGGCGGTTACCAAAGGTATGAGAAATCACAAGTTAAATGCTATAATTGTGACAAATTTGGTCATTACGCTTCCAATTGCAAATCTAATTATTGTGAAGTGGAGGAAAAGTTTAACCCCATCAAGGATGAAGTTGATCTTACCTTATTGATGGCACATGATCTTAAAGAAAAAGAAAGAAAGAGTATGTGGGTGTTAGATACTGGGGCTAGCAACCACATGACCGGCGACAAAACCATGTTCGCGGAAATTAAGCAAGCCAACGGAAAAGTCACATTTGGAGATGAGTCAAAGGTGTCGGTGGAAGGAAGAGGTAATATCTTAATCCGTCTAAAAGATGGTAGTCACCAATTTATTTCCGATGTTTATTATGTGCCCAATCTCAAAAATAATATTTTGAGTTTGGGGCAACTTCTAGAAAAAGGTTATGACATCAATCTAAAAGATAATAATCTTTTTCTAAGAAGTGAAGGAAGATTAATAACCAAAGTGCCAATGACGAAAAATAGAATGTTTTTATTGGAGATTCAAAATGATGAAGCAAAATGCTTACATTCATGTTTAAAAGATGATTCGTGGTTATGGCACTTAAGGTTTGGGCACTTGAACTTTGGTGGCTTAAATTTATTATCAAGAACCAAAATGGTTGATGGGATGCCAATGATAAATCATCCAAATCAATTGTGTGAGGGGTGTCTTTTAGGAAAACATGCAAGAAAAGGTTTTCCAAAAGAATCAAATTTTAGAGTTAAAAGGCCCTTGGAATTAATTCATGCCGATGTTTGTGGACCCATTAAACCAAGTTCATATGGAAAGAATAATTATTTTCTTCTTTTCATTGATGATTATTCTAGAAAAACATGGGTCTATTTTCTAAAAGAAAAGTCGGAAGTCTTTGGGTCATTTAAAAAATTTAAGGCCCTTGTAGAAAAGGAAGTTCGGCATGAAATACAAGCCATGAGATCCGATAGAGGAGGTGAATTTACATCAAATGAATTTAATGAATTTTGTGAAAATAATGGGATTCGCCGTCCTTTAACGGTTCCATATTCACCACAACAAAATGGCGTGGTTGAAAGAAAAAATAGAACTATTCTTGAGATGGCTAGAAGCATGCTAAAAAGCAAGAATATGCCAAAAGAATTTTGGGCCGAAACGGTTGATTGTGCTGTGTATATTTTAAATCATTGTCCAACTAAAAGTCTTGACAACAAGACACCTCAAGAAGCATGGCGGAAGAAGAAACCAAATGTTTCTCACTTTCGAGTTTTTGGAAGTATAGCATATGCTCATGTGCCAGATCAAAAACGCTCAAAGCTTGATGATAAAAGTGAGAAGTTTGTGTTTATTGGATACGATAAACACTCGAACGGATATAAGCTATATAATCCAGTCACGAAGAAAATCATTATGAGCCGAGATGTCCGATTTGATGAAGAAGCCTCTTGGGATTGGAGTGTTCAAGAAGATGAGAATTACAACTTCTTCCCGCTCTTTGAAGAAAATGAAGAACAAGAGGAGCATGATGATCAAGAGGCTCAAGAACCAAACACTCCACCTCATTCACCATCCATCCAAGGAAGTCCATCAACCACCGAGGAAGGGTCAAATGAAAGAACTCCCCGTTATAGAAGCTTACAAGAGATATATGAGGTAACACAAAATTTGGATGAAATAACTCTTGTTTGTCTTCTTAATGATTGTGAACCAATAGGTGTTCAAGAGGCGCTAGAAGACAAGAAGTGGAAAAATGCTATGGACGAGGAGATGAAGTCAATCATGAAGAATGATACTTGGGAGTTAGCTACGCTACGAAAGGGGCACAAGGCTATTGGCACTAAATGGGTATACAAAGCAAAGAAAAATGCCAAAGGAGAAATTGAAAGATACAAGGCAAGGTTGGTGGCGAAAGGGTACAAGCAAAGGGCCGGTATTGACTATGACGAGGTATTTGCTCCCATTGTCCGCTTAGAAACTATAAGATTACTTATTTCAATTACGGCTCAAAATAATTGGAGATTATACCAAATGGACGTAAAATCGGCTTTCTTAAATGGTTATTTGGAAGAAGAAGTCTATTTGGAACAACCCCCAGGTTATATAATTAAAGGGCAAGAAAATAAAGTGTTAAAATTAAAGAAGGCACTTTATGGATTAAAACAAGCCCCAAGAGCTTGGAATACTAGAATAGACAAGTGCTTTCAAGAAAATGGTTTTCTAAGGTGCCCTTATGAATATGCCCTTTATGTAAAAACAAATGAAGATGGGGATCTTTTGATTGTGTGCTTATATGTGGATGATTTGATATTCACGGGTAACAATCCAAGTATGTTTGATGCTTTCAAGAAAGAAATGAGTCGTGAATTTGAGATGACGGATATGGGACTTATGTCATACTACCTCGGAATTGAAGTCAATCAAAGTGATAGAGGAATATCTATTTCCCAAGAAGGTTATGCAAGAAAAATTCTTAAGAAATTTAAGATGGATGGGTGCAAGCCGATTGACACACCAGTCGATTATGGAACAAAATTCTCCAAATTTGATGAAGGAGATAAAGTAGATCCGACTATGTTCAAAAGTTTGGTTGGGAGCTTGCGCTACTTAACATGTACGAGGCCCGATATTCTTTTTGGAGTGGGACTTATTAGCCGCTATATGGAAGCTCCAACATCTATCCATATGAAGGTCGCCAAAAGGATTCTACGCTACCTAAAAGGTACGATTAGCTTTGGATTGACTTACTCATCTTCTAAAGAATATAAGTTGTTTGGTCATAGTGATAGCGATTGGGGCGGAGATATTGATGACCGTAAGAGTACAACCGGGTTTGTACTTTACATGGGGGATATGCCTTTCACATGGTCTTCAAAGAAGCAGCCCATTGTGACACTTTCGACTTGTGAAGCTGAATATGTTGCCGCTATGTCATGTGTATGTCACATCATTTGGCTTCGAAGATTATTGAAGGAAATTCACATGCCGCAAGAAGATGCAACCGAGATTTATGTTGATAACAAGTCGGCCATTACACTTGCAAAAAATCCCGTCTATCATGACCGAACTAAACATATTGATACTCGCTACCATTTTATTCGTGAATGTGTCGAGAATAAGGAGGTCCAAGTGAAGTATGTGAGGTCGCAAGATCAAGTTGCGGATATTCTTACAAAACCTCTCAAGCATGAAGACTTCAAGCGATTGAGAAGAATGCTCGGAGTTGGAAATCAAGTTTAAGGGGGGATGTTAGAATGTAAACTTGATTTTGGGCTAAGTTAATAATTGATGTTTGTTGTAATGGGCAAAGCCCAAAATAATTAGGAGTGTTCTAGAGAGAAATGTTCTAGAAAGTTTGTAGAGTGTGAGACTTCTAGAGTCATTCTAGAGAATAATTAATAATAGAGTATTCTAGATAAGGAGAATTCTAGAGAACTCTCCACCATTTATTGTGGATGTGAGTAGTATAAATAGGTGTAGTTGTGCTCATTTCACTACAAAAAAACACGCCGTTTGTCACGGATTTTTGTCACGGATTCCGGCCGTGACAAATTTGTCACGGGCTTTGTCACGGAATTTTGGGATTTGTCACGAAAATTATTTGTCACGGATTTATCCGTGACAAAATTTTGTCACGGATTTGGTCCGTGACAAATATATTCCGGCGACCGGTTTTTTACTCCGGTGAATACTTTTTTGCTTCCGGGCATTTGTCACGGACAGATCCGTGACAAATCCGTGGCCGTGACAAATCCGTGACAAACATTCTCACGGATTAATTTCCGTGACGAAAACGTTATCACGCCCATGGTGTCACGGATGGGATCCGTGACAAATCCGTGACAAAAAATCATTTGTCACGGATTTTTTGAACTGCCGTCCGTGACAAAGTCCGTGACAAACGACGTGTTTTTTTGTAGTGTTTGTAATCAAGCATCAAGATAAGAAATCTTCAAGGAATAAAATACAAGTTCTCTCTTCTTCCATCCTCTCTTCTAGTTAGCTAAAAGCTTTTTCTACTTACACAATTATTTTCATAACGTCCTAAAATACTTAGTCTCTACCTCTAATATTCCAACACTCCCTTGCTACCAGTTGAGCTACACCCACCGGTAGTGCGTGTTTGAACTTTGAACACCGAAGAAAACTTCCACATGTTTCAATGAATTTTGTTTCCATGCATGCAGTGAACCTCCACTTGCAAAATGCTCGGGATGGGGAGGATCTGATACGTCTAAAGTTGATGCGCTCACCATCATAGTAATGTTTCAATAAACGGTTAATTAATACTCACTCCCTCAGTCCCAAATTGTAAGATACATTTACTAATCACTTGGTCAATATAAATCACTCTTAATCTTTTTACTTTATATATTACTAGTAAAAGTTTATGAAATTTGAATTATTTTTTGCACCTTTGGTAGCGGTTTAAATGTAGTTTCTGAATATGTAAAAAAAAAAATTCAAAACTAATTTGAGTGTTGACAGAGATCAATTTGCTTTATCGTCGGTCAAACATTGTAAACCGTAAAGTATCTTACAAATTGGGGACGGAGGGAGTAGTTCTTCTCTTCTGTTTTAATTGAAATATTTCTCTTTTCACATTTGTAATGCACAATTGAATTTTGTAATAGTAAAAAAATAAAAAATTCAGATTTTGAAAATTTCTGACAAGACAAATTTAATTAATGATGGTTTTCAAAAGTTAATTCGGTAACACATTGATGAATAAATTATAGTAAAAGTAGAACATGTGAATAGTGTAAAATTTAACATATTGCAATTATTTAAAAACACATGTAGTAAGATCAAACCCAAAAACTGAAAAGTTCTTAATAGTTGTTGATATTTGTTTATCAGAAATTTACCTACTAATTATATTTTCCGATGAACTTGTCATACAGGGCTTTGTGGTGGCTTTCGGTGCAATGGTGTTTGCAGTGTACTCGACAGGAATAGATTCCCAATCATTCAGGGTCATAATAAAATATATACCATTCATACATAAGAACAAATATCACGGTGATGATGATGATGGTGTTCCATATGGCTATGGATTCTTTCACCTTGTTTTTGCCACAGCCTCCATGTATTCGGCAATGCTATTTGTCAATTGGAACATCCACCACCCTTCGAATAAAAGGTAGGCAATAAAGATGGCGTCCTGGAGTATATAATTTTTTTCCTATTTTTTTTATTTCCTAAGTTATTAATCTATGAATATTTAATCACATTTAGGTAAATTTCCCAAAAAATAATTGTATATAAAGAATAATATAACTCATAAATGCTTGTAGATCTAGTTGTAGTTCAATTAAACATGCATACAAAAAAAAATGATCATCATGAAACACATTGATTGGGTTATGCAGGTTTACAATTGATTCTGGATGGACTAGTACTTGGATGAAGATAGGAAATGAGTTATTTGCAGCCGTTGTATACGGTAAGTTTTATTTGATGCCTCATTTAAATAAAATTTAAATCTCAATCATAAAAGGCCAGTCCAATTGTAAGGTAGTAAATTAAATCTTTATATTTCAACCCATTTTCTCGTTTTTAGTTTAATTTTAGCGAGATTGACAACTCATTTGATCGAAATTGGATGAAATGTCAAAAATTTTAGCTTTTATCCTATAAGCTAAGCTTATTTATTTAAATTAAAAGGCATGTTTCGTTCGAGGTGATCATCTATGAAGGTCAGAATCTCATTTGTGGAATGTGAGATACCTACGTTTAGTTCACAGGTTTGAGAATTTTTCGGGAATGTTAAATGCCTAAATAGAGAATAAGGTTATCAATATTGCCCGTAATATCAAACCCCTCTCCCTCGTAGGTTATCTCACATTCCCTCTTAGTTATAATCTTTCTTCCAAAAATACTCATCCTCAGTTCATCCTCATTTATTTATTAATGTGTGTCATTATACATTTACTTAAACCAAATTATTTACTAATGTTCAGTAATCTTTGTCATTTGTGCAATTAGACATACTTTGCTTTAAAATAATTCAATTACTTTTGGTTTTAATTATTATTAAGATATATTTCATTTTTCTTTAAATTTAATTACTTTAATTGTAGGTTGTAATAAGTTAAATGTGTTAAAGAAAATATTTTAAGGGCAATGAGGTAATTCACCAAATATGTAATGTAAGATACCACTCAATCAAACAAATTAATTTCACATTCCATTAGTTTTAACCAAACACAAAAAAGTACAAATTAAATACATTCTCATCAATTTAACATACCCAATGATCTAACGTTCTCATAGTAATCTAACATTTCTTGAACCAAACGGGCCCTAAGAGTTTCATGTACATCTTAATGAGTGAAAGTGTGAAGTAGCTTAATATTTATATACTCCAACCGTTCCAATATTATTTTTATTCCTTGCTTTTCGGTCTATTCCAATATAAACTCTTCTTTCCCTTTTGATACAAAATTTGTGGTGGATAGCAATTGTCTCTATTTTCTCTCTTATGTGCACAACTTTAGGTCACAAAATTCCCACTTTTTTAATCCGCGAGCAAAGTACAAAAATGAAATAATATTGGGACGGAGGGAGTACTCTCTATGAGTTTGTATATTGTATTTGGCCAATGTTGGAAGACGTAATACTCTCCACATCTCATTTTATCTGTCTTACTTTTCATTTTGAGTTCACCCAAAACAATAAATAAAATCAATAACATTCATTTTATTACACTCAGGTCTCCAACGATACATTTTACTCTTCCCAACATTTTATTAATAATTGTGTCAATTAAATCAAAGTAGAGCAAATGCTAATCAAAGTAAGCCGTTTTTGCAGCAATCGTTCTCATTGCTGACATTTATCAAGATGGTGATGATTGAATATTATTTGTTCGTGTTGTCATATTTCAAGGAGGTACATTATTCCAGATGAAAGGGAACCAAACGATTTGTTTTACACACATATATATGGTTCATTTAAATTTTAGGGGGCATCGTACCTCAAACTTTACGGATATGACAATGTTCTTTTAATTTATCATATAGCCGACGTGAAAGTTTCTTCATTATTTTTTCAATGTCGAGCAAATGATTTCATATACAAATCTATTTAGTTTGATAGTTAATTCTTTCTTAACTTTTAACACTTTTCAGGAATTCTTTACACTGAAACACAATTCCCAAGCCAAAGAGGAACATCAATAAATTACAAATCAAAATAAGTTCATGCCAAAATGAGTTTGATCTTGTTACACTGCACAGACCAAAATGGATCAGTGGATTCACTTTTTGAAGTGTTGCCGGGTAGAAACCAATTAAATGTGTCACATTGGGCCTGCTTGATGCATAATCTATCATTATATAAAAGCAAAAGATTTTTGACATTATTCTTTGAACAGTGTTCCCGCTTAGAAAAGTCACCATCAACAAATAGTGCAAAATAACAAAGAAAAAATGATATCTCAGAACAATAAATAAATTGTTTTGAGAATGTCAACATCAACAAACAGTGCAAACTAACATAAAAAAATGTTGCTTTGAGAAAAAATAAAATAAATTAGTCTTAAAAGTATCCAAAAGGAAATTTTATTGGTACTCATGATGAAAAACAGCAACCAAGTTACAGGAGAGAAGTATATAAAGTTGTGAGAGTGTTTATCCGTACATGTGAATAGTAGAAATACTATTAAAAGTTCAACAGTACACGTACATTATAGCACCAATCAAATCTGACCAGGCTGTTTCAGGGAGCATGCGCACACAATATCCTTAAAGGATACTCTATTACAATTTGTAACAAAAAAATACAGCCCATCCATTCTGGCCATCCTGTTCATTGGGCCATGTGTATTTTCATCCAATCAAAACTCACCAGCCTGTTCTTGGGGTGTAAATTTTCTTTATAGAAAGACCATTCACTTATAAATACTACTCTTTCCTAGAGTAACCCATTCAATTGTTCAGCCTCTTCTCTCTCTCTTCATAAGCAGTAGAGGTAAAAGCCATGGACCAATGCAGTTTCATGGCATCTATCTTCTTCATGTACCAAGAACTACAAGGGAGCAGTCACAAATTCCAGCAATGGTGCAGCTAATGCACTATTGATATGGCATTGTATGAGCTACTATTGAGGGAACTTTGGGGTAATTTTGGGCTTTAGAAGTTTTTAAGAGATAAAGTAGGATTTTAGATTAAAAAATAACCCTACTGTCTTAATCCGGTTATTCTGCCCTAATCCTACCCTTTTGTAAGCTACGTTGTGAGACAAGTCCAAGAAAAAAGTAGACCTTGCATTTTAATTCCTTCCAGCTTTTTTTCTTTGAAACCAGTGTTCCCTGATCAAATAATAGGTTTTGATAACAGCCCTATAAGCTACAAGCTATTTGTGGAATAAAAATTAAAAAATCATTTGACTATTTGATTGCATACAACCATATACTAAATATTGATGAGTGAAGCTTCTTTTTTTGTAAATATTGTTTCTTGATGCATGTATTGGAGATGTTTGTAAGTTCAAAAAGTTGGTGTATTACTTCATTCCTATGTGGCAAATTCCAGATAAAGAGAAACAGTAGGTCCAAAAAATTGGTGTATTACTTCATCCCCATGTGGCAAATTCCTGTGTAAAGGTTGAGTTCATAACGTACTATGGCTAAGCTCAATAAATCCACAACAGTAGGTCCAAAGAGAAGACGTTTGTCAGACTATACTTCGGGTAAGTCTGATTTTACTACTTGGTTGTAAATGAAGTATTATTAACGCATATATCATTGCTCTAATTTTAAAAATGATTATTAAAAACAAAATTTATAGGAATATGCTTATCATGGGTCAACATACCTAATAGTTGATATTTATACCAATCTACACACTAGAATACAAGTCTAAGGTGTTGGGGGGATCAGGTTTGAACTACAGATGCATATTTGAAGAGACATTAGCGTTATTAGGTGTATTTGTATATTTGACATAGCTAGGTGTATAATTTCAATGTACTTTAATATAATGTATATATTAGATAGAAAAAACCTTGAGTTGACCACGCAAAAACTAGGGTCGGCTAGATTAGAGTACCAAAAACATTTAAGTGGGAAACAAATTGTGTCATTTCTATTAAATGAAAAGTTTATTGAATGGTATATCAATTTTGGTTGATCAATTCAGTCAGTATATTTATTGGCTCTAGCAAATGATTGATAGTGTAAAAATTGCTTGATTCAAGTAACTGAAGTTTAAAAAACGAGAGCCATTTCATAAATACTGATAGAGTTGTGTATGATATCAATGACATTTCATTTACTATTACATTGAAACAACTGCAAATATAAAAAAATAGGCCGAACAGAGTATTAAACAACCCCACATAATACATAATGTTTGCTATCTACTTAAAACAAAAGCTATAATGGATCATAAATCAATGTTGTACAGTCCAATCCATTCATATAATGATTGGTCTTTTAGGGTTTGGCCAAATTATTTTTTGTTTGTGTTTATATTTTAAATATCAATGGATCAATAGCAGGTCGGTATGAAAAAGGAAGAGAGGTATATATTTGTCATATAAGAATGTAATGTCAAAATATACAATTGATTCCAGTGATATGTGGTCATCATTGGTATTATTGTTGTTTATTAGTGTATAATACTACCTGTGTTCCGAATCACTTTACCATCTTTAAAGTTTTGATCTATTATATATTTTTATTAAAAATTGTTGATAATATTAAAATGATATACCAATGTTCTTTGCTAAAATTACTTCTCTAAAAGTATAAAATTTATAACTTCCATTATCTTAATGAAAGTAAAATCATGGTTTAAAGTTTACAAGATGACATTTTTTGGGATGTAGGTAATAATATATAGTCTGGTAAAAGATCAATATAGTAAGCCAGTTTAATTAAGAAAATCCTTAACTGCTTCATTTGTTGTTGATGTTAATAAGAATAAAACTAAGGTAGTATTTACCCAATAGGCAACCTTTCAATCATTTCGGGGATTAACTGGAACAACACATCATAAATATCAAGTTTGACCACCTAAAAAAGAAACAAAGATAAGTACAAAAATAACCAATTCTGTTATGAGAATTTGTTAAGGGCAATTGATTAGAAGTTAATTGAATTGGTTATATAAATACCAGCTATTTAAATTCTTCTTCTATTCAAACTTAAAACATAGGTGCAAGGTTTATGTTTTAAAAAACACTTCAGGGTAGTAAGGTCTTTGATAGCTTAGGGAAATGAAAACATTATTTGAAAAGGCATGCCTTTCTCAAGAGGTTTTGGTTTATGTCCCGTTCTCTTTCTAAACTTCCTTTTCTATTAATAAATCTTGGTAAATGTTTCACCGACATTTACCCCACTCATGGGTTCTTTATCTATCTACCAGGTTAAAAAAGTTTTTTTTTTTGAAAAATCAGTCATTTATGTGAATAATTTGAATGAAAGTTTCTTATATTATGGGATTGGAAAGGCTTCAGGTAGATAAGATTAAAAAAAATTGTGATTGGAATTGCTTACACAGATATAAGCAAGCAAAAAATGTTCAAAGAAGATAAGAGTGATAGACCATAAAAAATTACTATAGCACATAACACATGTTGTTTAAATTCATCTTTTATTTGAACTTAAAACATGGGAGCAGGGCTTTAGTTCTGAAAAAAACTTAATGGCAGTTAGGACTTAAATAGCTTAGAGAAATGAAAAGATTATTTGATAGATACTTATTTGAATTATTACCCTTGAATGTATAATGTGAATAAATGTTTCACCGACATTTACCCCACTAATGGGTTGTTTGCCTAACAGGTTAAAAAAGTGTTTTTTTTTTTGAAAAATCAATCATTTATGTGAATAATTTGAATGAAAGTTTCTTATATTATGGGATTGGAAAGGCTTCAGGCAGATAAGATTAAAAAAATTGTGATTGGAATTGCTTACACAGATATAAGCTAGCAAAAACTGTTCAAAGAAGATAAGAGTGATAGAACATAAAAATTACTATAACACATAACACATGTTGTTTAAATTCATCTTCTTCAATTTGAACTTAAAACATGGGAGCAGGGCTTTAGTTCTAAAAACACAATGGCAGTTAGGACTTAAAGAGCTTAGAGAAATGAAAAGATTATTTGATAGATACTTATTTGAATTATTACACTTGAATGTATAATGTGAATGAAACTTTCTTATAATATTGGATTGGTAAGACCACATGTTGATAGCTTGATTAATATAATTAGTTGATGTTATTTTGTGTAAAACAGATGCAAAGTTTACCCGGCCAATAGGCAGCATTCGAATCAATTTTGGATTAAATGGTACAACATTATATCAATCTCATGTTTGGCCACATACAAAAGAATAAAAGATAAGGACAAAGTGAGCCAAATCTTTTGGTCGAACTTATGAAAAGGTCACCCTATTATAAGTTAAGAGGGATTGCCTATATAAATACCAGATTAGCAAAAAATAGTCAAAAGATAAAAATTAAAGAATATAAATCTTACTATAGCAGACAACATGCTAAAGTAAGTTCATTTTCATCCATTTGAATATAAAACATGGCTGCAAGACTTAAGTTTTAAAAACGACTTAGTGAGAATTAGGTCTTTGACAACTTAGTGAAATGAAAACATTATTTGATAGATGTTTATTTGAAAAATTAGACATTTATGTGTAAAATATAAAAGAAACTTTCTAATAACATTGGATTAGAAAGGCCTCGGGTTGATATCTTGATTGATTTATGAGTTGAAGTTAATAAAAGTAAAAAAGAGGTGGACTTTACCAAATAAGCAACACTCCAATCATTTCTGGGATTAATTGAAACAACACTTCATAAATCTCAAGTTTGACCACCTACAAAAGAACCAAAGATAAGTACAAATAGAACCAACTCTATTGTGAGTATTTGTTAAGGTCACCTGATTACAAGTTAGTCGAATTGATTACATAATTAGAAGATAAGCAAAAATAAGTATTATTTATCTGAAAATAGTCTCTCAGGAGGAGTATTTGATATAAAAACACTAACATCATAA